ATTCATAATTCACCACCCATTAATTGTCATCTTGTATATTTTTCATCTCAAAGATTATGGTTTTCATTTTTGGAAGTTTGATTTGGACCTTTGGAATTTTTTGGTTTGTTTTGTTTTAATATTGTAGAAGACTGGATCTTTAAAAATTATTATTTCCCTGTCTCTAACTTTTTGAACATATAGAAAACAGTTATGATAACTGTTTGATATTTTTATCAGCTAATCCCAACATCTGTCATTCCTGGGTCAATTTTTATTGGTTGTGCTTTCCTGCTTCTTTGTGTATCTGGTAATCTTTGTTCACATGCTAAACATTGTGAATTTTACCTTGTTGGGTGTTGGGTATTTTTGGACTCTTATAAATGTTTGTAGTCTTTGTTCTGGAATGAAGTTAAGCTATTGGAGGTGGTGTGTTTGGGGTCTTATTTTTATGATTTATTAAGCTAGACTGGAACTATCCTCTGTCTAGGTCTTATTCTCTACTACTGAGGCAAGATTTTTCCAAATTTTCTATCAAATGCTTCATGAATTATGAGTTTTTCTAATCTAGTAGATAAGAATAAGCACTGTTCCTGGTCTCAGTTGTTTTCCTCACAGATATGCACTGATCGGTGCTCTGCTGAATACACAAGGAAGGCTTTCTGCAGATCTGTGGAGTTCTCTGTGCAGCTTTCTCTTCCTCACTACTCTCATCTATATCATATGTAGTCTCTAGCTGCCTTGATCTCTGTGGACTCTTAATCTTCTTAGCTTAGGGAGTTGTCTGGGCTCTGCCTGGGTTCCTCCTCCCTATACCTCAACCTGGAAACTCTCTCAAGGTAGTAGGCAGGGGCAAATGCTATGTCTCAGGGATCACTGTTCTTTGTTGCCTGATGTCTATGGTCTTGAAAACCATAATTTCATATATTTTGTTTGTTTATTTTTTCTTTCATCTTTCTTAAGTTTTAGGGAGAAGGATAAATCCAGTACTTCTTTTTTTTTTTGAGACAAAGTCTCACTCTGTTGCCCGGGGTAGAGTGAGTGCCGTGGCATCAGCCTAGCTCACAGCAACCTCAAACTCCTGGGCTCAAGCGATCCTCCTGCCTCAGCCTCCCGAGGCTGGGACTACAGGCATGCGCCACCATGCCCGGCTAACTTTTTCTATATATTTTCAGTTGTCCAGATAATTTCTTTCTACTGTTAGTAGAGACGGGGTCGCACTCTTGCTCAGGCTGGTTTCGAACTCCTGATCTTGAGTGATCCTCCCGCCTCGGCCTCCCAGAGTGCTGGGATTATAGGCGTGAGCCACTGCGCCCGGCCAAGGATAAATCCAGTACTTCTTATTCCATTTTTGCCAGAAGTAAAAGTCTCAAGTCCTTTACATCTTCTGTCTCCTCTATGTGGAATGCTCTTCCCCAGATAGCTGTGCGATCCACTGCCTCACCTCCTCTTTCTGATCAGTTTCTTATTAGATGCTAGACATCATGAACATTCTATTGTTTTATCTCTGAATTTTATTGTCTTGTTTTAAAGGAGTAGTGAGTTTTATTTTAGCAGCCATTTATATTATCTGTTCATCAGCTTAATCATTTTGAGGCTTGTTTTTAAGCTTTGATAGGATACATTTATAGTGGTTTTAACTCTAGGCCTACTTTGGTCCTACTACTTAAGGCATGACTCTTCTAGGTTCTCTACTGAACACTTCAAGAATTCAACAATGTGGAATTCATTCTGACTAGTCAAAAATCAGATAGCTTCCAGGCCTATGTGAACTCTGAGAAATTTTTCAGCTTACAGTTTTTAGTAGTTTTTCTTTGCTTAGCTCATGGAGTCAAACACTACTCATATATAGCTTAGCATTCAGACAGATTCAACGTGATCCTAGGGTAAATTTCTGGAGCTCTTTCTTTGTATAGCCCTCATCTCTCCCATATTCTGCCCCATATTCTGAAAATTGAAGTCTCCTCAACTTCCCCAAATTCTTAGGTGTCTCCTCAACTTCTCCAAATCCTAATCTGTCTCCTCAACTAATTGGGACCACTGTTCTTGCTCCCTGTGCACATTCCAGAAAGTTCCCTCACTCTGAACACTAGCAAGTTCTAGGGATCACCCTTCTCTCAAGGATCACAGTCCTTTACTACCTGCTTCTGAAACAGTTGTTTCATATATATCTCCTAGTTTTTCAGCAGTGAGTAAGTTTAGTACCAGTTACTCTATCATGGCCAGAAGCAGATATCTCCAGAGTGATCTTTTTTCCTTTTTTTTCTTTTCAGAGTAATTGTTTTTATTTTTTATTTTTAGAGACAGGGTCTCAGTCTGTCACCTAGGCTGGAGTGTAGTGGCGTGATCATAGCTCACTGCAGCCTTGGTTGCTCAAGCAATCCTCCTGCCTCAGCCTCCTGTGTAGCTGGGACTACAGGCACCCTCCACCATGCCCAGCTAATTTTTATTCTTATTATTAATATTATTATTGTTTTAGAGACAGGGTCTTGCTGTGTTGCCCAGGCTGGTCTCAGGTTCCTAGTCTTATGCTATCCTCCTGCCTCAGCCTTCTAAATCTCTGAGATTATAGAAATGAGCCACCATGCCTGGCCCAGAGTGATATTTTTAATACATAAATTAGATTATATCACCCCTTTGCTCTAAACTGCTTACTAGCTCCTCATTTCAGTCACAGAAACCAAAATACTTAAAATGGTCCTCAACTGCAGTTCCCAAACCCTGAGTCGTGGATCCAGTACTGGTCAGTGGCCTATAGGGACCAGGCCACAGAGCTCTGCTGCCCTACCCTTCCCTCCCCCACGTCCATGGGAAAATTATCTTCCATGAAACGGGTCCCTGGTGCCAAAAAGGTTGGGGGCCACTGGTCTGCAAGGTTCCACATGATCTGGTTTATTTGTTATCTTCATTTCCTCACCTCCTACTACTCTTTCCTCAGCTTATTCCAATCCAGCTGTACAGAGCTGCTTGTTATTTCTGGAACCACATCTGGACCTTGGATATGCTTCTACCATATGTCCTTTGTCCTCTCTGTTCCCTTCACATGGTCAATACTTTTCCTTGGTGGCCATGATAGCTGTGTGGCTAACTACCTCACCTCTCTCAAGGCCTTCAGATTCTCAATTACCATGCTGTTTAAAATTTTTACCACCTCCCACTCCCCCATTTTCCTTACCCAACTCTGATTTTTCTTCTTTCCCCTAACATTTGTTCCTTCCTGACATGTTATTTTTTCTTATTTATTTATTGTGTTTGCTGTTTAATGGCTGCCTTCTCTCTTTTGAACTCAAGTTCCACAAGGGCAGGAATTATTTTCTATTATGTTGCCTATTACATGGTAGGCACTTAGTGCATAATTTTTATTACCTTATTGGATGTTTAATAAATCAAGCATTATAAACATTAGTATGTTCTCAGAAAAGTTCCTTAAGCATTAAAAATTATACTCAGCACAACTAAATTTTCTTGCCTTCATCAGTTATTATCACCCATCATCAATTGAAATTCGTAGTTACATTCTCGTGTAAAATTTATATGCCCTATACATCTAATAGATTTAACCATAGTCATAATTTTTACATTGTTTTTTAAATTTTTTTCATACTAAAATATTAAGCAAACATTTTAATAATTATAAATAAGGTTCAAAGTCTTCCTTAAACCAACCAAACCTTTTCTTTCACAGTATAGTTTTAGCTATAATGTGCTTATTATTTTTTTTCTTATGCTAAAATATTTGCATCATAGTAAACAAGTCTCGTATGTTTTAATAGGAATAATCTAACTTGGGCACAGGTGGGAATGTATTGGCTCTCAGGATTCCAGGAAAGGCTTTAATAGCTAAACCATGAAAAGTAGGGATATAGGGAATAATGTGTTGGAGGCAACTTGTGCTGGTTCACAGAGCTGATTGTGTACATCTCTTCCCAATTCCACTTTCATTGTGTCATGGTAGTTTAAGATTGTCCATGTTGGAATTATTTCCACCAGGTGGTCAGCATATACTACAAATCAGAGCTTCCCACCACCCCAGCCAATTGTTAAACCTCTTTTAGCACACCACTGGATTTGAGCAGACACCAGTCAGGGGCTCAGATGCCTCCAGAACTCCTGTTAGAAGTCTGAATTCTGCCTCTCTAAAGATAGAATTCTCTCACTGAAGACTAACTTTCTCTGAATGGTGAGATGGTTGTCCCAAGATACCTCCCGGTTTTGCATACTACCACATACTCAGACACCATAGAGAAACTTGCTTTCTCTGATGCAGTTAGAAAATTGCTAGAGAAGGTCTCTGCTCAGATGCCCACTTCTAGGGGTAGCAATAAGAAATCATGGTAAATGGGGTCTTGAAAGAATTTGCACATCCCAAAGTAGCCATGTGAATAGGAATCAGTTTCCAAGGGAATGAGAAGGGGACATTACAGAGAAGACAGTTCTATTATGTTTACTATACTTGTTAAAATATAAAATTCAGGCCGGGCGCTGTGGCTCACGCCTGTAATCCTAGCTCTTGGGAGGCCGAGGCGGGCGGATTGCCAGCCTGAGCAAGAGCGAGACCCCGTCTCTACTATAAATAGAAAGAAATTAATTGGCCAACTGATATATATATAAAAAATTAGCCGGGCATGGTGGCGCATGCCTGTAGTCCCAGCTACCTGGGAGGCTGAGGCAGAAGGATCACTGGAGCCCAGGAGTTTGAGGTTGCTGTGAGCTAGGCTGACGCCACGGCACTCACTCCAGCCTGGGCAACAAAGCGAGACTCTGTCTCAAAAAAAAAAAATAAAAAAAAAAAAATAAAATTCAGCTCCAGTGGCACAATGTATTAGCACATAGGACTTACATAAAATTCAGCTAAATTGGAATATAAAATAGTTACAAAACAGCATTAGGTATGTGGAGTTACTTTAAATATAATTGGAAAATAATCAAAGTTTCTTATGATACTTTAAATAAGGCACCTATTTTTTAATGTAGTAATTTAAGTCCTACAATGGGTTTATTAAAATGTGTTTTTTGTTTAGGATTTGAACTACAGTTCCGACTGGGCCCAACTTTACAGGGAAAAGCAGTTACTGTGTACACAAATTACCCATTTCCTGGAGAAACATTTAATCGAGAAAAATTCCGTTCCCTGGGTTGGGAAAATCCAACAGAAAGAGAAGATGATTCTGATAAATACTGTAAACTTAATCTGCAACAGTCTGGTTCATTTCAGTATTATTTCCTTCAAGGGTAAGTCAGGTGTTCTGTATGTGGGACAAAAATGTATTCTAAAACCTCAAGTTACCTAACTTTTAAAAAATACTGTATGAACCATGGCAGTACAATTTTTACAGCTTACTTGAAATGCAAGTAGAATATGGTTCTTCAGTCTCTAGGAGGTAATTGTATGGCCCATTGCAGATTCAAAACAAAGTATTATGTAAATTTATTTTAAGTGACAGCTTAATACTCTAGTCTTTTCATGCAACATGATTATAAGATGCTATTTATTTGAGTGCTCTTGTTATCACTGATAGATTTGAGTTACTTATTTTTCATTAAAATGGCGTTATTGGATATTAGGTATATTATATCATGTGATTATGCAGAGATTGGGAAAGGGTAAAAGTGGCTTTTCCATTAAGTTTTATTGCAACTTTTTAAATGATTTTATGTTTTAGAAATAAATATATTTTTTAATGAGATAATTAACCTTCCATTTAGAATCAGACTATATTAGATGAGTATTTTTTTTTCCTGTTGTTAATTGAAAATTTTGATTTGTTTTTGTTTCCCCTTAGAAATGAGAAAAGTGGTGGAGGTTACATAGTTGTGGATCCCATTTTACACGTTGGTGCTGATAATCATGTGTTACCCTTGGACTGTGTTACTCTGCAGACATTTTTAACTAAGTGTTTGGGCCCTTTTGATGAATGGGAAAGCAGACTTAGGGTTGCAAAAGAATCAGGTAATGTCAACTTACTTTCTTTTTCTTTTCTCTTTAAAAATGAATGTAATTATCCTCTCTGATACAGATTTCAAAGGTTTTGTTTCTACTTTTAATTTTGTTTCTTAATATACTTAAAAATGTAAATAGAACCATATGAAGCTTTGATAATTGACCATTTTTAACTTATAAAACTGGCAAATTACATGATTTACCTTAATAAATGCAGGAACTCTATGATAAAATGAGATAATTATCATTTCTAAGACTTTACTTTGATATAGAAAAACTAGAAGTAAACTATTTTAATGTGTAGGAAAATATATTACCATTATATATTATTTTAATTCAGTGAACATTGATTAACCATCTTCCATGTGGAAGGCATGTGCTGCCATACATACCATGAATAAAATGAAACTTAAGTTATATTTTGCTCTTAAGGGTAATATTAACTTTCTACTTTAAAGTTAAATATTATATGAAGAAAGGAATAAGAAGTGCACTGATGTAACTAAAATAGAATACAAGGACTATGGAACATTAAAAGTAGGAGAAAGATGTTTCCATATACTTGCATAGGATATATTTTCTGCATGCAAATTATATCCATTCAACAACTATAAATTGAACCTTTAATAACAACCAGGCACTGTGTGTGACTTTTTCAAATACATTATCTCATTATCCCTATCTTGTGTATGAGGACACTGATATCTTGAAAGATTTAAAAATACTTGCTTAAAAGTCTCTTGTGGTATAGCTAGGATTTAACCTAAATCTTTGACTCCTTTTCTAGTAGGATGGTTGCCATACTATTTATAATTACTTAAGAAAGTTTAAATTTATATTTTCCTTAGTTTTGCATTGGTTTTGTTTGTTTTTTTCTTACAGTGGTCTTTGTCTTTTTGCTTTGCAGGTTACAATATGATTCATTTCACCCCATTGCAGACTCTTGGACTCTCTAGGTCATGCTATTCCCTTGCCAATCAGTTAGAATTAAATCCTGACTTTTCAAGACGTAATAAAACGTACACATGGACTGATGTTGGACAGCTAGTGGAAAAATTGAAAAAGGAATGGAATATTCTTTGTATTACTGATGTTGTCTACAATCATACTGGTATGAACTTCATTAACTTCATTCATTAATTTTGATGAGAATATTATATTCTAATTGTTTCATTCCTTAATGTTTTATATAACATAAATTTTAAAAACACAAATGATAATTAGATGTCCTTCAATTTAAGAAGTTACTTTATGTAGTATCACCTTTTTTCTTTCAAAGAAATTGGTATTTGTTGAAGATACAGTCAATTTATTAGTATTTTGCATGTGGTGCTTATAAAAGCGGGAGAATGATCATAGACAGGACATAATGACCACATATTTCAACTTAGAGTGTAATAGTTCCCCCTTATCTGTGGTTTCGCTTTCTCTGGTTTAAGTTATCCATAGCCAACCACGGTATGGAAATATTAAATAGAAAATTCCAGAAATAAACAATGTATACATTTTAAATTACAGGCCGATCTGAGTAGCATGATAAAATTTCGTGCTGCTTGCTCTATTTCACTGGGATCATCAAAGCTGATTCTTTGTCTAGATTCATGTCTATCCATGCTGTATATGCTACCTTAGGTACTTAGTGGCCAGCTTGGTTGTCAGATCAAAAAAACATAGTATACAGAGAGTTCAGTACTATCCATAGTCTCAGGCATCCACTGGTGGCCTTGCAACATATCCTGCATGGATAAGAGGGACTACTATATTAATATTTTCCAGGATAACAAATGAATCCTGTATAGCAGGAGCTCTGGTACTATAGCATATGTGAAGAAACTGAATGACTTCTATTATTTACAGAAAAAATTATTGATACACTCTCAGAAGTTAAATCTGGAAATTACATCTTTTACATGTTAAAATAGCTTATTATAAATTAGCCTACTTTGGTCCTTGAGATTCCTTAGTGATACACAATTCTATAAAATACATCAGATTTTCCCAACTAGGAATCCCTGAGGAGATGATTGCTCCCCTCACCTGTCAAAGCAGCTAGGCCTGCTTTGGTAAAACCTCTGGCCATGAGCAGCTTTCAGTTTAACCCAGTGTACCTTACAAATATTATCTTGTGTGTGTGCCACAGTGTTGGAAACCACTGATTTGCATGTGTAAAGAACAGGAATTCTGAGTCATACAAACATTTAAGAGAAATATCTGCTGTTTCATAAAATAGTTCTAAGTAACCATAGGAACTAGGAAGATACTTAAAAGCTCATAGGTGCAGTTCATCAATATAGATGATAATCTCCAATAACAATGGCAAACAGTCAAAGTTAGGTAAAGAAATAGGTACATTCTAAAATTTGGTGTTTCTGCATGCACCTAGAAACCAAGCTTCAAAGTCTATAGTGAAAACTTTGTAATATCCATGAACTCAGTATTCTTCACTTCATAATTTGATAGTATTGACAATTACTTTGACATCTATTATTTTATATCAAATATATCAAACCATAAAATGATAATGTATTGTAAATTATATGAGTTAGCATATGACTTAGGCAGCTGTAACAGAAAAATATAGTGACTTAAACATAAAATTATATTTATTTCTTATAAAGGATTAGGTGAGCATTCCAGGACTAGAATAGTAGCTCAATGGTGATAGGAAACTGGGTTCTTTCTCCAATGTTGCCATACTTTCTCCAATATTGCCATGCTGTCTCCAACACTTTGCTTCCAACTTTTAATCAAATATGGCTGCTCTAGCTCCTCTTATATTCTCCAGTGGAAATAAAGAAAGGAAATAAAGAAATGGTATGTGTATTTTACTCTTGATCACATTGCATCAAATGGGAGTTTGTCTCTTGCCACATGTAGCTATAAAGGAAACTTGCAATGTAGTCTTTAGTTTTTTGTCAGCCATGTGTACAGCTTAACCTTGAGAGTTTTATTACTAAAGAAAGACAAGGAGAATAAAAATTGGGGTACAAGCCAGGCATGGTGGCTCATGCCTGTAATTCCAGCACTTTGGGAGGGCAATGCAAGAGGATTACTTGAGGCCAGGAATTTGAGACTAGCCTGGGCAACATTGGGAGACCTGCCTCTACCAAAAATAAGAAAAAATTACCTGGGCCTTCTGGTGCATGCCCGTAGTCCTAGCAACTTGGCAGACTGAGGCAGGAGGATTACTTGAACCCAGGAGTATAAGGTTGCAATGAGCTATGATTTTGCCACTGCACTCCAGCCTTAGCAACCTTGAGACCCTATCTCTAAAAAAAAAAAAAAAATTGGGATATAGTCTCTACCAGACTATATTTCTGAAGCGTTCAAAAGATTCTCTGCAACATAAAAGAAATGAACTTTGCCACAGGCTTACTTGGAAAGTGTTGCAAATCATAATGTCCTTTCTGTGAAACAGGTCTTCATTTTAAAAAGTTATTATCTAGGGGAAGTCACCACACAGAATGGCAACATGAGAACTTCATATACCCTCTACCTAGCAAAACAACCATAATTGGTGAAAATTGTTTTAAAACAACCATTTAAAGTCCCTAGAGATTGTCCTAAACATTTGGCATATGGAGAAACATGAAAATCTACTAAAGAAAATCTACTAAATTTTTATTATAACAGCAAGAGTCTGTGGCATTTGACCAAGACCTGCTCCATTATCCTACCCAAACATCTCCATTATAGAAGCTCTGTTCCAGGAGCTCTACTCCTGGCAGGTGTGGACAAGATGGCGACTTTCTCTCCCAGTAACTCCAGTCTGAGGTTATAGTTTCCTTCTGGGAAGTGCAGCTGCTCAGGGTTTTTCATTACTGTCAGCCCTATGTCATAGGAGTTCTATTCCAGGTTGGCAGGCAGAGAAACATCACAGCTTCCTTTCTCTGCCCAGCCCCCACTTGTAGGGTGGACATCCTACCCCAGGTGCAGCAGGCCAAGAATACCGGAAACCCAATCACCCTGGAGCAGATCTTGGTTCAAATGCCACAGACTCTGCTGTTCTTATCTTGAACAAATCTTTCTCCATATGCTGAATGCTCTAGGACAGTGTCTAGAGACTTTAAATGATTGTTTTTTAGAATTTTCTCCAGTCTCTTATTTTGCCGGAGACAGTGTTTTCTGAATTCCTTACCATGCCACTCCAGAAGTCTATGTTTAGTTTTTAATTTTGATGTATGTTAAAACATAGTTAACATAGTTTCAGGTTGACTTGTCTTTCATGTAGAATTAGAAAAAACACTTTCGTTACCTAATGTTTAGTATTCATTCATTTTGTAATTGATTTATGTTTCAAAATGTTGAGAAAAGAAATAGTTTTAGGATTTATTTAAAAATTTATTAAGAAATTGGGGTAGCCTTAGTATTTATTCTTAATTAGTGAAAATCCTAATTGGATATTTTTATCACTACATTTTATTTTTTTAACAATTGCCTTGAATTTCCTTCAGTATGATGATGAAACTAGGGGGACCTATCTCAATGCAAATTTGAAGAATTATCAGTTTAACTTTTATTATAACATCTCTGTTCTTTATGTATCCTGTCTTCATCAGAGGATTTAATTATGAGTATAAATACTAAATAAATGATTTACTAAATAAATGACTGAAACTAGAAATAATGATTCTAAAACTGTAACAGTCCTCAGCTGAGTAAATGAGGCATGAACACGTTCATCTCAGCAGCAAAGTGGTTAATACGGCAGATTCTGAAGAGAGACTTGCCCAAGTTAATTCCTGTCTGTATGACTTCAGCTGAGTTATTTGTCTGTGCTTCACTACCTCATTTGTTAAAGGAATATAATGATATGCCCTGCTTCGTGTGGTAGGAAATGAGGAATGATAAATTAGTGCATTTAACTGATTAGAACAATTTCTGTTATGTGGTAGGTATTCAATAATTATTACTTTTTATTTTATGTACACTAACCACTCATGCAGTATGAATTCAGAGGGCATTAGTCCATTTTAAACATCAAACAAATTGTGTATAATTGTGTTTATTTAAAAAATTAAAGCATATTATCTTTAATGTCATAAATATTTTGAATTCTTTACTAAACTCCTGATCCTGATTCCTGGAGTTACTGATATAGATGAATAATAAGATATAAGCTACACCCTTATACTTTGAGTATATTTCTTTTAGCAATTTCTTGGCCTCACTTTATCAGTCTTATCAAAACAACATATCTTATTAAACCTTTAGGATTAGCTGTACAAAGAGTTACCTATGAGAAGTCTAATTTTTGTTCTATAGTATTTTCTAAGCAGAATTAAAGTTAAAAAACAAAACAAAACAGGGTGGGCACAATCATTCATGCCTATAATTTTAGCACTTTGGGAGGCCGAGGCAGGAGGATTGCTTAACCACTTTGGTATGAGCATAGTCGATAGCCACAGATGAATGCGCACAGCCGAGCGACTTTAGCGTTAATAACAAAACTTCTACAACAGTACTCCGTATCAAGGCAATACAACCCTTGTACTGCATCAGAAAATCTCATGTGTTTTAGAGAAAGACATTTTCCAGCACCTCACAATAGTGATAAAACAAAAAGGAAAAATCCATTAAGAAGATGTATGCTCAAAAAATAATAAAAGGTGTAGTACTAGATACTATTATGAACAATGTAATGTTGGCCTATGTGTAGCCCCATGCTTTGAAATTTATCATACCAAAGAATAAAATTTATCATAATATTCAAAAACTTGCTTATTTCTTTATGATATGAATGAAATAAAACTATACTTTTGAATTGACTTTTCTAATTTTTCATTTATCAAAATAAAATTGTGAACATTTAAAAATGACGTAATAAAAACATATATGTATATGTTACCTATTCTGATTTACATTACAAGTAAAGCTGCCTGTAAAGTAAAACAAGCTTTCAGTGCTTTAAAGCTTTCCTCATCACACAAGAGCAAAATGGATTCGTCGTCAATGCACAGCACAAACTATCCTGCGGACTATGAGTGCCGGCTGTGGGCAAGGTTTCGCAGCTGGTGAGCACCGTACAGAAGTGCTTAAGGTCAGGAATTCGAGACCAGCCTGAGCAAGAGCAAGCCCCCATCTCTACAAAAAATAGAAAAATTAGCTGGGTGTGGTGACCCATGCCTGTAGTCTCAGCTACTCAGGAGGCTGAGACAGGAAGATAGGTCACTCAAGTCTAGGAGTCTGAGGTTGCAGTGAGCTATGACAACACCACTGCACTCTGGCCAGGGCAACAGAGTAAGACTCACTCTCAAAATAAAGAATGGTGAAGTGAACAAATAGGATACCATAGCCAAAGAAAATTTTTTTGATATGGCAGTATCATTATAAAATATTGATGCTTCCTGTAAAAAGAAATGAGTGGTATGTGTGAATATTTTATTTTACTTTTAAACTTAACAGAGATACAATCTGAATTATGAAATATTCCTTTGTGTTTCTTTTTTCTTTAAGCTGCTAATAGTAAATGGCTTGAGGAACATCCAGAATGTGCATATAATCTTGTGAATTCTCCACACTTAAAACCTGCCTGGGTCTTAGACAGAGCACTTTGGCATTTCTCCTGTGATGTTGCAGATGGGAAATACAAAGGAAAAGGAATACCTGCTTTGATTGAAAATGATCAACACATGAATGTCAGTATGTATAGAGGAGTACCACACTAAAGCAGAATAACAAAATTTCTAAAGTACAAATTAAATATATGGTCAAAAATTATTTAGTATTTTAATATGGTAAACAGTATGTGGTGAAAGATTTTTAAATACATATTTTTTTAACTATTGAAATTTTTCAGTGCATTCGAAGAATACTTTGGGAGGATGTTTTTCCAAAGATTCAACTCTGGGAATTTTTCCAAGTAGATGTTTATAAAGCAGTTGAACAATTTAGAGGACTTCTTACACAAGGTAAAGTATATACACTAGAATGTTCTATCAATTTTAAGAAATTTAATATTACTCTTAAAGGTATAGCTCTTCTTTTGGTTAACATCATTATTAAGTATATTATATGATATTTATGTAACTTTTTATATTATAAAACTATGATTCTGGAAGCTAAGGGCAGAGACATCTAAAGGACATGTCATAATAATACATAACACAATTATTTTCCCTTGGGGACTATCTTACTGTGAGTTCTTTAGCAGAATGCTCACAACCAACAGTAAGTGAAACTCAGTATATATTTGTTAAACATATGAACAGGAGGTAGGTAGAACAGGTTACTTCAGCTGAGAAAGGCTCAAAACAGGCTTTGAAACCAAGAGATGTCAGAGTCTTCTGCTGCCTGTTAGTTAAGAATCGTAACAGACATAGAGGGCCTTGTAGCCGATAGTGCCCACTATCACAGTGATGTAACCACTAGTGAGACTGAAATCAGATATTAGCTGATAACAAAAGGTAAAATGAATCTTGAGGACATAACTAATCAAGAAGTTAATTAGTGTGCCCCCCAACAAAGTAGGATAGGAAAAACCATGCTAAAAGAGAAATTGGGAGTTTAAGGAGACAAATTAGAAAGGATTATAAAGAATATATCTGCAATTAGTATAAGACAACCTAGCAGTGAGGATCTTCTGGGGGCTCTTAAAATAAGGAATTTTTTTTTCTCATGCAGAAAATAGAACTACAGTAGGACCCAGAAATACTGCCTTTGAGGTAGAAGTCAGTATGACTTGAGATCCAGAAAGCTGAGAGTCAGATTCACACATCAACTTTTGCAATTGTGTAACAACTTACTACAGGAATTTTTGATACTAACTTTCCTTCATGTTTCATTTTACTAAAGGGCCTCTGTCTTCTCTTCCCTCTGGTATTTATAAGTTATATAATTTATATGCAATAATGGATGCTTATTATAACAAAAAACTAAATAGTTCAAAATATGGTAAAATAGAATGTGTGACTTCCTCACCCCTAAACCCATTTCTTGGAGGAAACTAATTAATAGTTTCTTTTTAGACTGTTTTTGAAAAAAATTCAGATGTAAATGTAATTCTAAATACATAAATTGTATGCATAAGTTTTATATCTATTTTATACACATGCAAATAAGACTAGTACATAGACTGTTTAACAACTTGGTCTTTTAGTTGGCAGTATACATTTATTACAGCTAATTATTTCTTTTAGTCCTACATAGCAATACACTGTTTTAAAATACTTGAAGTTATTTAAGTAGCCTTTTTGGTAGGTTATTTCCTGTTGTTTCATCATTCATTCATTTATATTCATTCAGTGCATATTTATTGAACCACTTACTATGTGCTAGATACCCTTCCAAGGCATGAGGATTCAGTAGCCAGTGGAACTTATATTCTTATAAGCAGTGCTGCAGAAAATATATCCTTGTACATGTTATGTTTACTTGCTCATGTGAGCAAATCTGTAGAATAAATTGTTAGACATGGGTCAAAGCATATATGAATTTCAAATATGTCAAATTGCTTTCACAACAAGTTATACCAACTTAACATTATCACTAACAACCTCATCAACGTTAGATACCATTAATCTTTATAATCTTTCCCAGTCAGGCAAAACTTACCTTATTTTAATTTACATTTCCTTGCTTATTAATGAAGTATCTTTTTACATGTTAATTAGCCATTTATATTTCTTCCATGAATTGCCTATTAATCTTTTGTCCCCATTTTTCTATTGGGCTGTTTGTCTTTTTCATATTGATTTATTATTATTGATGCTTCCTTATTATACTAGCCTTCAAATATATTCTGTTAGTATGCTATTGATCTTTCCACTCTTATTTCTGGTACTACTTTTTTTTCAATATAGTCAAATTTGTCAATATTTTCTTTTATGGCTTCTGATTTCACATTATGCTTAGAAAAGACCTTTCATCAGCATTCTATTTTCTTCTAATAATCTTATTTATATTTTTACATTTAAACATTTAATATACCTGAAATTTATTTTTATATTATTTAAAGAAGGCATTTAATTTTATTTTTATTCCAAAAATGATATTGACTTGATAATCCATCCTTTTTCACTGAAGTACTACCATAATACTTTGTAATATGTAGTCATATGCTAAATACATATTGGCCTGATATCTGTGCACTTCCAGTGATATTTTATTCTACCAATACTAAAAACTATTTATTAATTAATATATGCTGATGGCATAGTTTTTTCTCTTTTTCAAACGTCTCTTAGTTTTCATCTATTTCCTCTTCCAGGATGAACCTTAGAATCTGGATTTTAAGAATCTATTTCTATTTTATTATTTTGTTTGTGTTTTAGAAGCTACTTCAAAATCTCCTTAGAATAATCCAAATATAAATTAATTAGTTAATATAAAATCAAGTTCAGTGGAGGCAATCCTGCACCAATGCAAAACAAGTTCCCAGAAAAGAATGAAAATTCCCCCCAAACCATTTACTTTCTTTTAAATTATTATCTAAGGAATCTGGTTGTTGGTGAAAGGAGGAGAAAGTGTAAAAACAAACTTCTGTGTGCATCTTTCAGAGAATGCAAAGAAAGTCAGATTGTTAATAAGACTTACTTTAGAATAAGAAGCAATCTTTGAAGAAAAAGAACTCCTAAGGTTAGAATATTTGATAGCAACTGAGAAGAAAATGTTTGCCACCTAAGTCTTAAATAAATGCCTGGGCACAGTGGCTCAGGTGGGAAGATCTTTTGAGCTCAGGAGTTTGAGACCAGCCTGAGCAAGAATGAGACTCTGTCTCTACTAAAAAAAATAGAAAGAAATTAGCTGGACAACTAAAAATATATATTTAAAAAAATTAGCTGGGCATGGTGGTACATGCTTGTAGTCCAGCTACTTGGGAGGCTGATGCAGGAGGATTGGTTGAGCCCAGGAGTTTGAGGTTGCTGTGAGCTAGGGTGACGCCACGGCACTCTAGCTGGGGCGACAGAGTGAGACTTTGTCTCCAAAAAAAAAAAAAAAATGCTGACTGAGGCAGAAAAGTGGGCCTGGAGTTGAACTGATAGGAATCCCCGTGTATTTTCTTTTATGATATTTTGTCTCTCTCTGTATTTCTTTCTCCCCCTCAACTCGCCCGCACCACCCCATGCCATGTATGTGTGTACATTTGTGGTGATGTGCAGGAGGATGGGCAGGGGAGGTAGGAAGGATCTTTGTGAAATAAATATTTGTCTTATTTTCTATGAAAAAATTATAGGCTAAAACTTTGAAAGCAGTGACAGTTATAATCTCCTTGTGGACATTTGCATTTAATATATCTTTTCTGTCTTTCAGATAATAGGAGGGTAACCAAGTCTGATCCAAACCAACATCTTAAGATTATTCAGGATCCTGAATACAGACGGTTTGGCTGTACTGTAGATATGAACATTGCACTAGCAACTTTCATACCACATGAGTATGTTATTTATATTTTTTCTTGTGAAATAAAGAATAGTGTTACTTATAAACCTTTATGGCTAGTATGATTTTCTTACTACTTATTAAAACTCCTAATAGAAAATGAATAAAATAATGCACTATAATTCTACTATTTCAACACATGACATTTTCCTACTTTTTCTGTATGCCAGACCATGTTCCTATACATGTATGTAAACATTCTATAATTGGAAAACTTCTTTAGCCATAATTAAGATCCTGATAAATATATTTAAGGTGTCTTTGACCTTTGTTAGAACATTTTGAAATGTAGAATTTGTAAAACCATTATATAATAAGTTTATATTGCTCTGTCTGCTCTAGCAAAGGGCCGGCTGCAATTGAAGAATGTTGTAATTGGTTTCGTAAGAGAATTGAGGAATTAAATTCAGAGAAGCTTCGACTCGTGAACTATCATCAGGAACAGGTTTACCTATTTAGAACTGTCTTTTTGAGTCTTAATGCTATTTTGTTGTTGATGATGATGATGTAACATAGTTTAATGTTTTCCAGGCAGTTAATTGCCTTTTGGGAAATGTGTTTTATGAACGACTAGCTGGCCATGGTCCTAAACTAGGACCTGTCACTAGAAAACATCCTTTAGTTACCAGGTATTCCATTTTTGTTTTCTTCTCATTGATTAATAATTGAAATCTATATTTAACTTTTCAAATTAACCTAAATGTTTTCTTTAATATGTGACTTAATATGTGACTTTATATGTGACTTATATGTGACTTTATATGTGACCAGGTATTCCATTTTTGTTTTCTTCTCATTGATGGTTAATAATTGAAATCTATATTTAACTTTTCAATCTATATTTAACTTTTCAAATTAACCTAAATGTTTTCTTTAATATGTGACTTTATATGAGATAAAATTTTTTACTTGGAAGTAGGCTTAATTATGTTGAACAAATCTTTAGTTAGAGTAACTACCATTAGTATGAAGCCATTTATAGTTTTTATTTACATTAATATTTCTGGAGGACTGTATACATAGTAATAAATTTAATGTTAATCAAATTGAGCAAGCATTTATTGAGCATGTTACTTTATAAGTAACATATAGCATAGACTGGACAATTAGAGTACAGTAAAAGCCTTTACAAAGTATTAATAATATCATAAATAACTCAGTAATTTTCTTATGATTTTATAAGGTTTTAAAAAATATTTAAAATGTTAGTTGGATATGCTATAATGTTAGCTCTGTATTCCTGAAATCCTCCTAGATTTACTCAAAAAATCTACTGAAGATTTTTGTTCTGTATTGAAGTTTATTTCCTATAAACGATATCAAACTAATTTTATTTATTAAGGAGGAAGTTTAATTTTAATGTTGCTAAGTCAAATTCTCTCCAAGGTGTTTCCCTCTATGGATTTAATGTTTAATTGTATCTCCATAGGTATTTTACTTTCCCCTTTGAAGAGTTGGCCCCCTCGACAGAAGAATCTATGATTCATCTTCCAAATAAAGCTTGTTTTCTGATGGCATATAATGGATGGGTAATGGGAGATGATCCTCTTAGAAACTTTGCTGAACCAGGTACATCATTTTTTAACTTTTCTATGGAAATGAAAGGAGTTCGTGGCAAGCTCAAAATATGTTTTATTGATTTTTTTCGCCCACTAGTCTAGTGGTTTTTAAACTGCTTCATCATAGAGCTACCAGAAGTACATGCAGTCTGAGAGGAAAAAAAGAGACAGAAAGGATGGTGTTTATTTTCCTCTCCTTTGCCCCATTTCCTACCTTTTATCTTCTCCAACAGAATAGCTTTTATGTATCTATTTTATATACTGTGGGTCTGTGTAGCTTTTATTTGGGCAAAATATTATTCTATTACTTTTTTAAAAAGAAGTTTGAAATCACTGCTATTACAATTATATTAAGATATTTGAGTGGCAATTCAGCTAGAAAGAAATTTTTAGGTTTCCCTCACTGTTAGCGTCTTGTTTTTCTAAAGCTATTTCACTGCCCGGAAGAATTTTTCAGGGGGCCCACTGATATACTTTTTAACATTTCAGAATGAGAAGTCTATTTAGTGACATTAAAGTTAATTCAGAAATTTTATGTTCTTTGTTTTCATAATATAATTTTGGGTTTAAGTATCTCTGTCCTCTTTTTTCTAGCCATTCTAAATGAAAAAAAATTCATTCTGCTGTATGCCCTGGAATTAATGTAACCTATTGCCAAAAATGGGTAGAGGAGAGATGAAGCTTTAAATGTTTTTGGTAGAACTAAAGCTTTAAAAGCCCTATGATATTACCATTTCTTTTTTTCCCCTTAAGAAGCAACTCAGGGGGATGGAGCCATGAAATTAGAATTACTGGGTGAAAGCCCTAGAACCTTCTCATAGACTCCTGATACCTGTTACCACTTTGCCTCTAGAAGGGCCGTATCAATTTTTACTTCTTCACCAGCAGATGTAAGACTCACTGCCTTCTCCAACACTAATAAGTGCCATGTAAACACTCTGCCATTTGGACACAAAACATCCTATTCTCTTATTTCACTGTTTATTTCCTTAATTGCGTGTGAGGCTAAATGGTTCCCCTGTTAATTAGCTGATGGTATTTTTTATTCTGTGAATTGTCCTGTCACAGCCCTTGTGCAGCTTCCTGTCACGATGTTTCTGTTATGGATTTATATTAAATCTTCATATATTGAGGATAGCAAAAAAAAAAAAAAAAGAAGCAACTTGGATTTTTGAAATTATTAACACATTTTTAGAAGAGACTCTAAACTAGTATTTTCACAAAATAGGTATGAGAAATAAATTAATATTAATTTTTTAAAACTTTATCCCATATCATTTTGGATATAATTTTAACCAGTATATCATTTGTGGAAGAAATGATAAAAGCAACCTCAAAACAACAGTATTTCCTTGAAGCAATTGTTTTCATTTCATTTTTTGAACCATTGAAAGTAATCTCCTTTCTTAACAGGTTCAGAGGTTTATTTAAGGAGAGAACTTATTTGCTGGGGAGATAGTGTTAAATTACGCTATGGGAATAAACCAGAGGACTGTCCTTATCTTTGGGCACACATGAGAAAATATACTGAACTAACTGCGACATATTTCCAGGGAGTACGTCTTGATAACTGCCACTCAACACCTCTTCATGTCGCTGAGGTACAGAAAAATAGTTCATCTACATTAGGGAAAGAATTCAGTATTCTTTCTTAGCTTCTCCTAGTAGGTTATGCAGATACATGTTTCTTTTTCTAGTTGGATGTCAGTATTGATCTGGTAGTAATATTTAATGTTTGCATAATTTTAACAATCTTTTGATGCAGTTATTATGGATTACTGGGCTATAAAATATTTAACAAGTTAATTTTTTACTTTAGGGAAGTTGATCATATTGTTTTTGATAATATATAGAACAACCATATTGCCTACTGATAATATATAAAATATTTGTCTAATTTTTAGGTTGCTTTCAATATAAGTAGCAACTGTGAAGTTGAATAGCTTATTACATGTTATAGGGTTCTCTTTTTTTGAGACAGAGTCTCTCACTCTGTCACCTAGGCTAGAGTACAGTGGCATCATCATAGCTCACAGCAACCTCAAACTCCTAGGCTCAAGTGATTCTCCTGTCTCAGCCTCCTGAATAGCTGGGACTACAGGCACGTGCCAACATGCCTGGCATTATAGCACACTAACACTAACATTATAGCATACTGAAGCCAGTTTTAGTCTTGTTGATTCAATTTTTATTAATTATTTATAAAAATATAAGTATACACATAAATGTCTATTCCTTTTTGGGCTTTTTATAGTACTTTTGAACAATGCGAATACTTATAGTATCTTCTATCTAATAAAACTTTGTAAATAAACATAATTTTCATCTAGCTTCCTAGAGACAAGAGTCACTTGGGTGTTCTTTGGAAATGTGTGCTTATCTGAAAAATTCCTACTTCTATAATATTAAAGCAGTATTATAATGTATATATTTCAGGTCCTGTGATGAAAAATTGATTTGATTTGAAGGGATTTAATGAACATTAGTTAAGCTGGTAAAACACTGTTTTACAAGAAAATGGCAGGGTTTATTTTTATCGTGCCTTTAGCAACAGCAAAGGAAATATGTACTTGTAAGATTGTTATAACATTATGGCAAAAAAGAATGTTAAAACTTAATTTGCTTAATTTTAAATTACAAAATTTTTCAGGATTCTACTTGTTAGCTCATTGAATTTCAAGTATTTTATTAATTTCAAGTATTTTATTAATCTTTGTGTGTTAAAAAATTTTGGAACCAACCTGATTTCTGATTATAAGCCAGTATTTTCTGATTATCAGCTAGATAGGTAGCACCAGTGTTAAACATAAATTACACCAGTGAAACTTGCAAGATGTAAGAGTTTAAGAGTTTATTAAAGAGTGTAAGAGTGTAAGAATTTAAGAGTTTATCAAAACCATGCCAGTTGTATCTCCTTCCTTTTCACCTATCTTGCTTTTCTCTTTCTGTAACATTTTTGTCTATGCTTTTTGCAGTATATGTTGGATGCTGCTAGGAAATTACAACCCAATTTATATGTAGTAGCTGAACTGTTCACAGGAAGCGAAGATCTGGACAATATCTTTGTTACTAGACTGGGCATTAGTTCCTTAATAAGAGGTAGGCTTGTTGCAATGTATTTCCCATCTAAAACTTTAGCTTTTGTTTAAATAGATTAAAAAGCATTTTATAGCTTTATATGCAATGCTTAATAATTTTTAACACAGTTAATGTTCTCTGAAATAGTCTATATGAAGTTTTCTAATATAATGCCATCTATTTTTCTAATAGAAATATTTCTAATATAATGCCGTAAAGATTTCTACTTTGGTGTAAGATACCTCGTTTCAAACTGAAAGATCAGTGATATGAACTGATGACTCACAAATAAAACCATTTTTTTAATTGTTGAAAATATACAAATCTGTTTTTCATCTCCTACCTGGATATATGATGTACTCCTTAAATTTTTTATGATGGATTTTGTATAGCTTACATTCTAATAAACAGCATAACATTCTGTTTTCTTTACATGAGCCATTTCTCCAGTTAAGTTATAGGAAGACTTTTTTGTCACTTAAAGTAATGGACATTTGTTTAAATGCTTAAAGCAGTTTTATTTTTGATAACGTTGATGTGGTCTTAATTGTGAAAATCAGTCATAATAAGAAATCTAACCTCCTCTTGGACATAAATAATGAGATTGTTAAAATATTCTGTAATGCTCTGCAGAGGCTATGAGTGCCTATAACAGTCATGAAGAGGGCAGATTAGTTTACCGATATGGGGGAGAACCTGTTGGATCCTTTGTTCAGCCCTGTTTGAGGCCTTTAATGCCAGCAATCGCCCATGCCCTGTTTATGGATATTACCCATGACAATGAGTGTCCTATTGTGGTAAGCATCTAATCATCTTCATGTATGTACTTGTTTTGCTAAATGCTTTGATACTTAGCTCTCTGATAATTAGTGGCAATAATATCCACATACTTCAAAATAATGTCTTAGATTTATAAGTGATTGTAGCACGTAGTTTTTACAATGTTTTGTTTAAAAACAAATTAATGTACCTTATAAAATATATTTATGTAATTATCTTTTTACTTCATTATGCCATAGAATGGCACTTTGCATGTGAAAGAAAGTAAACTTTTGCTTTGTTGCTGCTTTCCAGCACAGATCAGCATACGATGCTCTTCCAAGTTCAACAATTGTTGCTATGGCATGTTGTGCTAGTGGAAGTACGAGAGGCTATGATGAATTAGTACCTCATCAGGTTTGTTTATATATTGTTTTTTAAAATCTACATGACTAACAACTTTGAGCACTTTTATCACAACCTCTCATTGTAGTTAAAATGTATACCTGGCTAAATTTTACCTTTGTTCAGATTTCAGTGGTTTCTGAAGAACGATTTTACACTAAGTGGAATCCTGGAGCATTGCCATCAAATACAGGTGATGTTAATTTCCAAAGTGGAATTATTGCAGCCAGGTGTGCTATCAACAAACTTCATCAGGAGCTTGGAGCCAAGGGTTTTATTCAGGCAAGCAAACTAAATTTCATAAATTTGTTTCTTAAGGTTTAATTTCAGAATAAATCTTTCTAATCTGAGCATGAGTTTCCAGTTTGAGCCCTAACCTAGTTATTCTTTCTATTTCTCAGGTATATGTGGATCAAGTTGATGAAGACATAGTGGCAGTGACAAGGCACTCACCTAGTATTCATCAGTCTGTTGTTGCTGTATCTAGAACTGCTTTCAGAAATCCTAAGACTTCATTTTACAGCAAGGAAGTGCCTCAAATGTGCATCCCTGGTAAAGCAATCTAAGAATTATTATCATTATAGTATATCATTATATTAAATTACATTAATATAATGTCATATGAAATCATAGTTATATATATTATAACACGGTGCAAGTGTGGACATTGTTGAAAAAAAGAATTAGAAATTTTTGGTAACTTATATTTTTATTGCAAGGAACAGGTCCTGGACAGAAATACTCCCAAATGTTAACATTTTTCAAGTTGTGAAATATTTTTGTTTATATCTTAATACATTTCCTAGTTTGTGTAAGATTAATATGTATTTCTCTTATACTCAGCACAATATATGTATATTTATTTGTATATATATGTGTGTATGTGTATAAGTGTGTATTTGTGTATGTGTATGCATATATATAAATTAAGATGGAAAATATTCTAACCATGTGTTTAAGACCTTTCATAATCCATCTTCTTCTACCAGTCTAGTCCTATGTCACTCCACTATTTCAGCCAAATAGATATTTTCACTGCTTCCCAACTAGTTTGACTTCCATCTATATATGAATTGTTTACATCTTTCAAGGACAAAAGTTTCACCTGCTTTGAGAAGCCTTCTATAAGTATTCAGTGATTTCTCTCTCTTTTGAATATATAGTAATTATAGTGTATGTCACACATTTAACAATTACAAAATACATGACTGAAATATATCCATATTATTGCTTGATTTTTTCTAAATATGTGTATATTTTATTTCCTTACTATTATATATGAAATATATATATATATATATTATAGCATAGCATGTGCTTGTGCATGCAGCAACCGTCCAAGTTTGTTGATTGATTGAGTAAATGAGGATTACAATATTGGCTGGGCACAGTGGCTCATGCCTGTAATCCTAATACTATGGGAGTCCAAGGCGGGAGGATCACTTGAGGTCAGGAGTTCGAGACCAGCCTGAACACAAGCAAGACCCCATCTCTAAAAATAATTTAAAAATTAGATGGATGTGGTGAACTACGATATTGCCACTGCACTGTAGCCCAGGTGACAGAGTGAGACTCTGTCTCAAAAAAAAAAAAAAAGATTACAATAATATCTCAGTTTTTGTTTTGGTCATTGATCATTCTTAAAACATTTCCATTTGTCAGTCTATAAAATCGTGATTTTCGTTATGTTAAATGTCTCATATTTTGTTATGTTAGCATTCCATTTTTAATATTCTTTAGTATGTTTAGTGTTCTTTATTTCATTTTTGACTATACACTAAGAACATTTTATTTTGAACAGTCTTCTTAGTGTATATTTCAAGAGGTAGAATTTCTGGATCAAAAGGTACTATTACTTATTTCCAGATTAATAGCTTAAAGCTTAAGTTATTTAAATAGCAAAGTTCAAATTTTATATATCCTTTGACCCAGCAAATCCACTACTAGGTATATATCTGAAAAAATTCTCATACATTTCCATTTGAACTTATACATAAGACTATTTATTGCAACATTATTTATAATAGAAAGAAATTAGGGACGACTTTAATAGAATGAATGCATTTGGGTATATTCATACAGTAGAATATTATTTGGCATTTGAAATAAATGTGCTAGAGTTAATGTAACAATGTGAATGAATCTAAAAAATACAGTGTTGACCAGTAGAAAGCAAGTTGCAGAAAAATATATATAACTTGAGTTCATTTTAATACAACTTGGAAATATGGAAAATAATATTATATGCTGTTTAAGAATGTAATATGGATATGTAATATAATGCCAGGAGTAATAAACAGTAAATTGTGAATTGTAGTACCTCTCAAGGGAAAGAAAGGGTACTCAGGGTCTTCACTTATATTTGTAAATTTTTGTAGCAGGACCTGTGTTTTTAAAAAATTTTCTTTACTTTTTATATTTCTGAAATAGTCTAGTCTTTTAAAAACATAAGCTTTTCAAACAATTTACTTATCTCTGCTCAAAATTAAGAAGATTATAGATTGTTCCTCAGAGCTAAGCCATATTAGTTGTTAAGATCTCTTTTCAAATAACGCTTTGTCAATTAAGTTGTTGTTTTTTCTTAAGAAGTTTATATGAAAAGTACATCTTGGATAGAATCATCTACTTTCAGACTGTTTGGGGTTTTTTGTAATTAATTGAATTTTATTTTCAACTCTAAGTTAAATGATTTGAAACCATGTTAGCAATTCCTAATTTCAGATGGTTCCATATGAAATTTTGTTAAAATTTTTATATATTCCTAGGCAAAATTGAAGAAGTAGTTCTTGAAGCTAGAACTATTGAGAGAAATACAAATCCTTATAGGAAGGATGAGAATTCAATCAATGGAATGCCAAATATCACAGTAGAAATTAGAGAACATATTCAGGTATTTGGGACTGTCAGCTTACTACTATGTTTAATATTTTAAGGACATAAGAATTATTTGTCGAATCATTTTTTTAATTTAATTTTTTTTCAAGCTTAATGAGAGTAAAATTGTTAAACAAGCTGGAATAACCACAAAAGGACCCAATGAATATGTTCAAGAAATAGAATTTGAAAACTTGTCTCCAGGAAGTGTTATTATATTCAGGTATGTTAATTAGAGTTGAAACTATTGACTTTACTTATATTTAAAATAGTTTGAATATCCTGTTAACTTTGAATAAATTACTCCTAAAAACTAATCGTTTTTAATTAATGTTTTCAGAGTTAGTCTTGATCCACATGCGCAAGTTGCTATTGGAATTCTTCGAAATCATCTGACACAGTTCAGTCCTCACTTTAAATCTGGGAGCCTTGCTGTTGACAACTCAAATCCTATATTAAAAATTCCTTTTGCTTCGTAAGTATACCTTATTTTATAGCAATTTGCCACTTCAATAACTGATAAGTTACCATTAGACTGATTTAAGCAGTTTTAAGGGTGCTCTGTATCCTTGTTTCTGAAAGTATAGTCCAAGGACCAGCAGTGTCAGCATCACCTATTGTTAACATTTTACCCTATTGCTTTAGCCTTTGTGTGTGTGCTCAGATGTGCACTCTCCCATGTGTGTGCAGTCTCTCTTATAGACATGCATACATGAATGCCTGCATGCATACACACACACACACATCCTCTGAACTATTTGAGACTAAGTTGCATACATAATACCTTTTACCATATCATTTTTTTAAATTATTAACATATTCTATATCGCTATACCACAATTTATTTAATCAGTCTCCATTTTTTGAACATTCATCTTTGCATAAGTCTTTAGTTATTCCCTTACTAGGTGGTACTATATAGTACCAAAGAGTGTGGGTTTTAAAGTTTAGACATGGGTTTAACTTCATCCTCACCACAGTCAGTATGATCTTGGACAAGTTACTTAGAACTTTCTTCATCTCAGTTTTACATCTGGAAAATGGGTCTTGTAATAGTAACTACCTCTTAGGTTTTGTATGGATTAAATAGGATAACACATATAAATCACTTAACACAATACCTGGCACATAGTAAGTGCTGGATATATGTTTGCTATCATTAGTATTAGAAAAAATTTCCAGAAGTGTAATTTTTTGGTTAGACTTCATCCATATATTTGAAGCTTTTAATACATACTGATTCCCTCCAGAGAGATTATATTAGTTGATACTTTCAGCTCTGTATAAGAGTTTCCGCCTTACCAATACTGAGTATATGTTATTATGCAATGTGGTATTTAAGAGCATGGAGTATAGAACCAGATTACCTGCGTGTTTTGGAAAAAACTCAAAGTGGTTTTTCTTCCTCTGGTCTCAAACTGTGACAATCAATACCCAAGAAGATTTCTGTGACATGATTTCTCCGTACACATCAAACAGCAGACACCAGCTGGGCGTCCTCTAATTCAGTTTCAACCCTGTCTACCTGGAGATAGCATCAGATCCTACAGAATAAGGGCTCAGTCCCCATACCTGCCCCCACTTCAGATACCAGTCACAAGTCTGGGCCTCTGGAACTTCTGATTGACCTGCTTCAAGTTGGGGTTCCACAACCCCCTGTTTGGGGTCAGTTAATTTGTTGGAGCAGTTGACAGAACTTAGGGAAAGACATTTACCAGTTTATTTTAAAGCAGCAGTCCCAGCATTTTTGGCACCAGGAAAAACAATTTTTCCATGGGATGAGGGTGAGGACATCGTGGCAGGTGGGTGTGGTGTGGAGCCCAGGTGGTGATGCGCTGCTGGTTTCCTAACAGGCCACAGCCCAGTAATGGGCTACGGCCTGGGGATTGGGGGCCGTAGTTTTATAGGATATTGCAGAGGATGCGATGAAGCGATGCATAGAATGAGGTATGAGAAAAAGGGCATACCCTCCACACCCTCCCTGGGTACACTATCCTCCAGGAACCTCCATGTGTTCAGCTCTCCAGAAGCTCTCTGAACCCTGTCCTTTTGGGTTGTTATACAGACTTCATTACATAGGCATGATTGACAACCATGCAGAAATGTGATTGGACAAAAAGCGCAAGATCTAAACCCAGGAAGGCCTATCTGTTTAGATTCTTATTCTTACCCACAGAGGGTATGGGGCAGGATCAGCTCTGGAATGAGGGTCTTTTGGCCCACAATTAGATTATAATCTTGGCTTGGGCAGTGAAAGGAGGACAGTAGTAGGTCAGAGGGAGAGATTCAGTTTCTGAGGCCTGTTCCTGAGGCCTAAAATGTTCAACATTATAACAAGAACTATTGGAGTTATGAGCCAGGAACAACAGATAAAAACTTATTATATATATATATATGTATCTCATAATATCCACCTTGGGTTTGAATTCAGTATCAGGCTCTTATTAGCTATACGAAGTAAGACCTTGGGCAAGCTATAATAGATGAAATTATAGTACCTCTCATACAGAGTTGTGAGTTATACGATCTCATTTCTAACTGAACAAAGGGAAATCAACATGATAGTTTTTTCCCTCTGACCATTATCAAGAAGCATGTTTATCTGAGAGAATCCTGGTTTCTTATTCAAGAAAACTGAGGGGCATTGCAACCTTAGAAGGGGAGAGAAGGAAACTTAGAAGAGGAGAAAAGGGACTGGGAGGAAAATACAAAGGCAGAGACCATATGATTTCTTAGGTAGTTAACTTTGACTTTTGATTATTACTTTACTAGTCCTTGGATAACTATTTTGAGTTTAAGAGAACTGCATATAAAGTTCTTGATGTCTCACTTTGGAGTATACAAGGAGGGAAAAAACTAAGTCTGAAAGGGAAAGATTTTTTTAAAATATAAGATAAAAGGTACAGCAACCAAAAGATTTTTCCAGTGTAATTCTAATCAGTAAAATTTGGCACTTGTCCAGACATGATGGCTCATGCCTGTAATCCCAGGCTTTTGGGAGGCCAAGGTGGGAGGAATGCCTGAGGCCAGGAATTCAAAACCAGCCTGGGCAACATAGTGAGACCCTATCTCTACAAAAAATTTTAAAAAATAGCCAGGCCTGGTGGGGCACACTTGTAATCACAGTTAGGAGGCTGAGGCAGGGGGATCATTTGAGCCCAGGAGTTGAAGGCTGTAGTAAGCTAAGACTGTGCCACTGTACTGCAGCCTGGGCAATATAGTGAGACCCTGTCTCTAAAAAAAAATTAAAATAAAAAAATAAAATGTGGCACTTGATTAATTACTTGGTTTGGGAGTAATGTTGCTTCTAATTGAATTTTTGGCATGTTTTTCCCACTAATTATTATTTATAATGTTGTATATGTGTATTTGAATGCTGACTTCCTAAAACATTGCTAGGACATTTTATAATCATAATTCAGATTTTCTTCTTTTGTTTCTATTGATAGCAAGTGAAATTTCAGTGTATTTAACCAGTTATCTTTATTTCCAATTCTTAGTATTGCCTCCAAATTAACTTTGGCTGAGCTAAATCAGATACTTTACCGATGTGAATCAGAAGAACAGGAAGATGGTGGAGGGTGCTACACCATACCAAACTGGTCAGCCCTTAAATATGCAGGTCTTCAAGGTAAGCAAGTAGAAGGATCACTAAACTGTGTGTTTTTCTTTTAGGATCATCTGATATCTTCTTTATAGAAGTAACAGTATGGGCTCAGAGTGTGACTGCTTGGGTTTAAAATTATAGCTCTGCCTTCTACTCATTGATTGACCTTTGGCAAGTAACATAACATCTTCGTGCCTCAATTTTTGCCTCCATAACTTGTGAATAGTATTAATAATTCTAGTATACTATAATAGTATTATTAGCTTAATTTTGTGATGATTAAATGTGAGGCTTTGTGAGGATTGAATGAGACCATTCATGTAAAACACTAAAAACATGTGGCACAAAGTAATCAGTGTTACCTAGAATTACTAGTTCTGTGTCATCCATTAAGATCATTTGTAGTTCCTTATGTATACTTTAACCTTAATGTTTCTTGATCTGGTTTATTATATAAAACAAGAAATAGAATATGTGTGTTTGGGCCCCAGATGGAACTAAGTTGTAAATATAATACACTCATCTTTTTCTTTTCATCTAATTGGAAATTTTTTTGTTGCGTATTTATTTTATCCTATAAAGAGAACTTATGGTAAAATATTATGTAGTTAGAGTAGTTGTAACATGAGTTAAAGGAACTAAATATTTAACTATCCATTTAGTCCATCTAGTTGGTAATGTTTTCCTAAATATTTATCTAAGAGATTTGCTTTGTCACACCTGTATTCCTGGTTCATATAGTTTTCCACTTATCATGCCTCTTTTTTAAACTCTTTATTTTTTTGTCCATCTAGTTCATCTATAAGGGCCAATGTAACTCTTAAATATTCCATAAAACCTCTCTTAACTATTTTTTTTACAGTAATTTCTTTGTCCTCCAGACACCCATTCTGTTTCTTTCTATACCTCTTACTTGACACTTGAAACAAATCACCTTATTTTGGTAATTAGTATAATGTTTTTTGCAATTTTTTTATCATTGCAGTTAAGAAACAGGCTTTAAAATCAGACTACGTAGGTTACACTGCCTAACTGTATAACCTAGGAGTAGTTAAACTCTCCATCAGTCAGTTTCCTCATCTGTAAAATGAAGATGATAATAACAGTACCTACCACAAGGGATTATGGTCAAGATTAAATGAGTTAACACATGTAAAGCACTTAGCACCTAGTTCATACTAAGGACTCGGAAATTATTAGCTTTAAAACTCCGCTACGTAGATTGTACCTTGGAAAAGAAGAATGTAAGTTTTATCTTTTTGGGGTTCTTGTTTTGTTTTGTTTTTTTCTAAAATACCCTTTTTTTTTTCTTTTTTTTGAGACAGAATCTTGCTCTGTTGCCCAGGCTATAGTGCTGTGGCGTCAGCATAGCTCACAACAACTTCAAACTCTAGGGCTCAAGTGATCCTCCTGCCTCAGCCTCCCAAATACCTGGAACTATAGGCACACATCACCATGCCCAGTTGATTTTTTCTATTTTTAGTAGAAACAGGGTCTCACTCTTGCTTAGGCTGATATTGAACTCCTGACTCAAGTGATCCTTCCACCTCAGCCTCCCAGAGTGCTAGGATTACAGGTGTGAGCCATTGTGCCTGGCCAAAAACACCCTTATTTTTAACACAAAGAGTTTTGTGCTGTGAGTGATGAAGAAGTGTACATATTCCAGTTTTAAGCAATTAATGATTCCATTTTCACTCTGAGTTGTTGAACTCTTTCTTCTACTTGACTAAAAAGACCACACTTTAGTGAGCTCCTTTTCTAGCCTGTCTTCTTAAAGTTCAGTCTGGTTCTTTACTATTTCTGATTATCCTCCTAATGAAATGATTTTTTACTTTATACCAATCCCTTTTCCCTCTGATAGCTTAATATTTTCAACAGCCCATAGAATATTTCCTGCAGGCTGTTAATAGCAGCCTCAGATTAAATCAGACTTAACTACTTCATTGACATTTCTCTCCTCTAAACAAAATTTACTTCCCTACTTCTTATAATAATGTATATTTAGTTGTATTGGAATCCAGGAATCCATTTTTGGGTCTTCCCCTTTCATCCTCAGTATTCAATCAGTAATTATGATTTATGGATTCTTTTCTCTATTTTCTTTGGTATACCATATCCTTTTTATTTCCACAGTTATCATCCTATTCTAGGACTAAGTGCTGTCTACAAAATAAACTAACCAGCTTTCCAATCCTTATTAATCCTCTTCCATAAATCATTCTGTTCTATTGGTTGTCATCAGATCCGTTTTCTAAAACATTGTTTTCATCATGATATTCCATTATTCATCAGTGGAACTAACATTTACTAAGCATTATTTGCCTTCCATGAAAATGCTCACATTTATGTAGAGCATTATTTTATACTGTTTTTCAGCTTTTTTATGTTTTAAGCTTTGTTTCCCAAAGAAGATTGTAAGCCCCTTGAGGGAAAGAACTTAATCTTAAAAGTATGTTTTTTTAATTTCTTAAAAGATGCTACATAAATGGTAAAATTCATTAAATTCTAAGTAAATAATTTTAGTCAAAATGAAGTCAGTGAAGCCATATAAAATTTTTTAAAGATATAAATTATTATTTTATTGAATGATGCAAGAAGTACTATTGGTATGTCATTGAAATAATAAAATCTAAGTATGCACAGGAATTCTTATACTTCTAATTGAGGACTGTAAGGATTGAAGATATGCCTATATACCTCATTTTGATACTTTGTTTACTTCCAATTACCTCCTGTTATATTTCAAAGATTTCTTCCAAAGCAGATTTTATTCTTATTATCACCATAGATGTTCTTGTCCTCTCTGAAACCCGATTCTGTGATTTCCTTAAATCTTGCCTGAGTATTAGTGAATCTACCACTTTTCAACATGAAAAGACACAGACTTATCAATTCTCTTTCCCTAGATGCCTTAGGGCAGGGGAACCATGCCAGTTATCTTTGAATATTATATAACATTAAAATCCAGAAGAATAAGCCCAGTCCCAAAAGTTATGAATCTTGGAAAGTTCTGCATAGCTCTTGTGACAGTAGTCCTCTTCAATATGGCTTTGTATCTTGGTTCAAGCCAGTACTGTCAACATTTCTCTCCAACCATGTTAAGTGCCACTGTGGACTATGCGGTTATTGTGTCTGCCTCTGTGTGTTCACCAAAAATCATTGGAATGGAGACTAGAAGAGTAGAGACTAGAAGCTTTGGGAACAAATTGACTCTGTCAGTAATACAATATGACTTGTCTCTGAATTTTCAGGAATAATGTCTGTATTGGCAGAAATAAGACCAAAGAATGACTTGGGGCATCCTTTTTGTGATAATTTGAGATCTGGAGATTGGATGATTGACTATGTCAGTAGCCGGCTTATTTCACGATCAGGAACTATTGGTGAAGTAAGTGGAGCAATATTCTAGTCCAAAAAAATTCAAGGGCATAATAAGAATTATATTACCATGTTATATATAATATTTACATTGTTTTCTAATCTGAACCATTTTCTTCCCTTCTTCATCATCTTTCAGTTCTAATAAATGGAAATTTGGTTGATAAGATTACTAGGTAGTAAAGTTGCATGTTTAGATTTACCTTTTAAAACATAGCCTGTACACATACCAAATTAACTTTTTACATTATTTTTATAACAGGTTGGTAAATGGTTGCAGGCTATGTTCTTCTACCTGAAGCAGATCCCACGCTATCTTATCCCATGTTACTTTGATGCTATACTAATTGGTGCATATACCACTCTTCTGGATATAGCATGGAAGCAGATGTCAAGGTATAACCAGCAAAGCTTGAATATATAGTCATGTTTGTGTAAAAACAGAGTCAATTTATACATGTTCTTAAAAGACTAAAACATGAGGAATTGTCATAGATTCATAGAGCTGAAACAGTTTTTAAGTATATAGTAAATTTATTAGCATCCTGAGTCTGTAGCATACAAAAATAAATTTAGACATTAAAATCTGTTCTAAATGCTAATAAGACATGTTGATAGGAAAACTAAATTGTTTTATTGTATTTGTATTCTATTTATTCACTAACTTTTTAAGTTGATACAGTTTTTAGAATACGCACAATTCGTCATCTAATTTTTCATCAACTAAGAGAAAAAAATATTCTGCTATTATGAATGAAATTTGCCTTTAATGATGAATTTTCCTAAAATGAAACCACCAGTTGAAGTATACCAGTAAGAGCCACCAAATTGATTAGGGTATAATTTCAGAAAGAGCCAACTTAACTCTGCCATTTGTTTTACAACAATCTATGAACTTAACGCCAGCTAAAACCATGCGTGAAGTGAAAGTACTTTTGAAATCTAACCATATTGAAAGTTTTTTTCAACTAATATTACTATTGTTAGACATCTGTGTAGAAAAATTATCTGAGGAAAAGAATTCAAGTAAAATAAAACTGCTAAAAAGCTTTGTATTTCTACAAGTAATATTTTAAACCCCATCACTTTTGTTACAGCTTTGTTCAGGATGGTTCAACCTTTGTGAAACACCTTTCACTGGGTTCAGTTCAAATGTGTGGAGTAGGAAAAGTCCCTTCTCTGCCACTTCTTTCGCCTTCACTTATGGATGTACCATACAGGCTAAATGAGATCACAAAAGAAAAGGAGCAGTGTTGTGTTTCTCTAGCTGCAGGTAAGAAATTATGGACAGGGTTAAAATGTGTAAGCCAGTAATATTCACAGAGGACAAGGTAAGGGAAAATGATTACTTTTTAAAAGTGTTTGATGTTTTCCAAGATTTTATGTTACTGCTTAGTAAATTTCATAGATATTCACTCATAAAAATAATAACCCATACTTACCATTTAATTATAACTGTGCACCAGGGATTTATGTGTGTTTTTAATTATGGCTGGTTAATTCTTTTCTTCTGCATGTTTCTATTTTTTCCAACTCTTGGCATTTTTTATTTTTTTAAATCAAAATTATTTTACTACTCTCTCCTGTAATTACCAAGAGATCATGTAAAGGGCCTCTACAAGTTACAAAACATAAAACAAATGTTAAATAATTTTTATTATGTGTCTAATTCTAATCAAATGCTTTCAACTATATTTATTGGCATCCTTTCCTCCCAGTAAATTTAAAACCTGAATTGAGTAACAAATCCAAGTAAGCAAAATAAACTAAAGGATAGGCTTTTGTTTTCTTTTTAAAAAATTTCAAGTATATTTCTAGAAAGTACTTAGTGTTCACGGCCACTGAAATTTAGAACTTTCCAAACTAAACCAAAAAATAATCAAATTGCAGGAAGAAAGTAATAATATTGTCTGTGTGATTCCCTGTTTACCCTTAAATTTGTAACTGCTTAGACCAAATAAAAAGACTTAGCGGTACCCAGCAACTAAACTAAAAGTCACCTTTTCATTTGGAATGATCATAAAACATTCATAAAACTGTATTTTAATTCTATAAGTGTATTTTAGATTTTCACTTGACTGTTTGATCTCCCCCTGGTACCTCTTATTCTCCTGTGAATACATGCATATGCCCATGAAACTGACCTGGGCTATTGTTGAAAAAAAACATCCATGTGAAGAATTTGGTGTTTTGTTTTTAGAAATGTGGTCTCACTCTGTTGCCCAGGCTGGATTGCAGTGATGCAATCATAGCTAACTGTAAGCTCAGCTCCTGAGTATCTGGGACTACAGGCATGTGCCACCATGCCCAGCTAATTTTTTACATTTTGTAGAGATGGGGTTTCACTATGTTGCCCAAGCTGGTCTCAAACTCCTGGCCTCAAGTTATCCGCCTGCCCAGGGATCCCAAAGAGCTGAGATTACAGGTGTGAGCCATCACATATGGCTGAAAATTGGTTTTAAAGCCTGCTTTTTAAAGCCTATTATACATAAAATAGTGATCTCAACCTTTCAATTGTGCAGCATTGCTATTAAACACCCCCAAAATGTACACATTTATAAATGATATACTGATATAAGCTATGACACCTGACATACTTACATAACAGATATAATATAAAACAAAAACAGAAACTAAAAAAAAGTTGATAAATAAATATAAATGGAAGTTCTGATATTTGCTTCTAGCATCTTAAGGGACAGTGTTACCTACTCTTTACTTGCAAAAAATAGGACTATATTCAGATTGGCACATAGGTTTTTTGGTATGCAATTTTAAATAATCAGGAATGCCTTACTTTGGTGGGAGTATTGCAAAAATTAATTTATAATTATAAACTTTTATAATAGTTGGCAAGGTAGAAACCACTTAAAAGATATATGATGTATAAGTTGTATACTCTTAGAGGTCAAAAAGTTAATACAAACATTTCCACATATTAGTGCTAGAGATTTTATAGTTTTGGCTTTTTAACAAAGAATGACTACTTGTATTTTAGGACATACCAATTCAAACTCACCCTTGAATCTATCTATACTCATATTTCATACAAGGAGTTAAATGGGTTAGAGTATTAGGAAGTATGTATGGCACAGAATGCTGTGTGTATGTTAGCTGCTATCATCATCATCAAAATTATCAACCATGTATATCAACTATATATATAAGCCATATATATTAACCATAAATAAATAATAGACAAAGTGGAGAAATTTTGTGCCATTGTTTTGGAAATAACATAAAAAAAGTCTGAATGTGCCTTTAGTTCTGATCTTTCTTAATGGAAGAAAATAAGTCTAATTCCTAAGAAAGTGCAGACCCAATAAACAGAAACATAAATTATAAAGTATACTTAGGAATTAACAAAATTTTCGTTTATCTTAGTAGAATTCTTTCACTTTTCAATTTACATTTTACTATTAGTCTTTTATGTCAGTCATTCAACAAATATTAATGTTGATAGGGATATATTATATACCAGTTACAATTTTCAATGATATTCACTAGTGAACAATGCAGATGAAGTTTCTACTATTATAGGTATTATTTTCTACAGGGAAGATACAGTCATTGATCAACAGATAGCAAACAAAGAAGATAATTTCAAGTAGTGTTATGTGCTTTGAAGATATTTATGAATTAATGCTATGTACCTTTTATTTATGTCTTTAGTTTTCCCTTCCTGAAATATTTGTTACATTTATGTCTTAGCATAATCCTTTTTTTTTTTTTTTTTTTTAGCAACATGTCTCAATATTTTCTAATGTAAATACTGCTGTTCTGAACACTGGTTGGATTCTGGTTTTATATTATATTATATTTTATTTTTTTGAAACAATCTTGCTCGTTTGCCTGGGCTAGAGTGCCATGGCATCAGCCTAGCTCACAGCAATCTCAAACTCGTGGGCTCAAGCGATCCTACTGCCTCAGCCTCCCAAGTAGCTGGGACTACCGATTCTAACCACCACACCTGGCTCTTTTTTTCTATTTTTAGTAGCGACGGTGTCTCACTCTTGCTCAGGCTGGTCTCAAACTCCTGAGCTCAAGCAATCCTCCTACCTTGGCCTTGCAGAGTGCCAGGATTACAGGCATGAGCCACTGCTCCCGGCCCCAGCATAATTCTTTTTGTGAGTGAAATGCTGATTTCCTTTGCTTTACTTTCCTTTGACTATTGTTTTTAGTACAAATATATATAACAGTTGTATTTCTTTAATGTTTTATAAGAAACCAAACTCAATCTAAAAGTAAAATTTTAGAGTTTATCCATTAGTTACCCTATTTTATCTCATTTATAAAGGTTGCAGTTACCTGTGAAGTTATTTGGTACATGAAATCTTTGTTTCTTTGCAAAACTGTTTCTAAGACAGTATAGCATTTTTAAAAATTAATTTTTAATTGACAAATAAAAACTGTATATATTGTGTACAACATATAACAGTTTAAAATGTTTTATATTGGGTTGGGGAACCTTTACATGTTGAAAGGCTGTATTTATTTAGGTAGAACCAAATAAGGCCTCATTTAAGAAACTTCAATTACATATACTTAAAAATGTACATTATTTTGTAAAAATCTAACTACTATATACTTAATAATTTCAAAAAATGAAAACTATTTGTTAATTTTAACGTTAACTGACCTTTTAATGACTTTGTTGTGTCTCCTTCTTGTTGGAAAGCATGTGAATATTTGGCTGCAGCATGAAGGTCCACAGTTTCAGTTGATCCTCTAGATGGGTATCAGTCATTTGTGACCTTAAGGGTGTCCTGATTTCTGTTAGGTAGGAGAAGGTAGATTCACAGCAATATGTGGCTGAAAAGTAAGAGAGCATTTTGGGGACATGTTGCCACAGGTATGGGTATCCTACAGCATTTTTCCATATTTCAACTAGATCTTTCTTACCATCAGACAATGACTTTAAAATGTCATCTACTGATAGCTCAATCAACTCCATCTGTAGTTCCTTAGGTGCCTTGGTGATATCAACTAGGTAAGGCTGAAATGCTAATTTTGAGTGTGATATCATGATTCTCAAAGTCAGTGAACCTTACTTTGTATTCTCAAATTAATAGGTCTATAACAGTTTTGTTAACTGCAGAAAATGTTCATCCTAAATTTCCCTTTCAAGAAATGTTTTGAAAAAAGATAGTTTTTTTTTTAAATGCTTAGGTTTTTTTTTTGCCACATCTCATGTATAGACTTAGTTTTACCTTGCAAAGAAATATTAAAGTCTGGTTTGACATGATATTACACAGAAATGCTGCATTTCTATAGAAATCATCTTTCAATAATTCACACTGCTGATCCTGTTCTTCATATAATTTAACTATCTCCTCTCACACACGTAAAATTTTGACTAGCACTATCCCTACAATAGCCAACATACTTTAGAATGATAGACAGATCCACACTGAATACCTCGTGGTTCAACTTTAGCATGTTACAAAACTGAGGATGATATTGCATTTGCAGGAATATAGTTAACAATATTTATAACTTGTTGCAAAGTGTCAGGTAAAATAGCAAGTTTAGCACAGAGATTTTGCTGATGCAAAATACAATGAAAAGAAATGAGAGCATCTGGATCTGTTAATACCTTTTTTTAAATCTGTGCAATAAATCCTTCATGTTTTCTGTCATGAAAGGTGTACCGTGTGTGTATGTGTGTATGTATGTATATATGTATGTATTAGGTTATTAAGTATGAAATGTCCGATTTCCTTAAGTACTAAGTTTGGCAGTTGATGTCTTTGACATTTCACTTGACACTTCTTGTTTTATTTTTATTGTGAAGGGAAATCCTCAGTCTTTCAAACACATATTTTGGCTTGTGATTATCTTTCAAAAATTTTAGAACAATTTTTATGATATGACGGATAAGTCAAAATTTTGTGTTATTTTCTAATGTGAGTACCGTCATGGAACCAATGCAGCAGTGCACACAGCTCAAAATATCAGCAAAGTGTTTGGGAAGGATGTGGGTAATGCATGCACGGTACTTTGGTTTGAGAAGTTCCATTCTTGTGGTTTTAATCTCGAAAATGAGCTATGTGGCTAACTTGACACCAAAGTGGATAATGATGAACTGAAAGCTATAGTGGAAGCAAATCCATCGCAACCTATGCATGAATAAGCAGCAAGGTTTAACATTACTATTCCAACAATATTGGACCATTTGAAACAAATCAGCAAGGTAAAGAAGCTGGATATGTGGGTTCCGCATGAGTTAAACAAATGTCAGAAGAGAAATTGTCTCAAAGCTTGCCTTTCTTTGCTGTCATGACATAAAGGTGAACCATTTCTCCACCCCAGTGTTATGTGTGATGAAAAATTGATTCTTTTTAATAATTGAAAGCATGTAGCACAATGATTGGATAAAGTACCTAAACACAGTCCAAAGCAATATTCATCGAAAAAAGCTAATGGTGTCTATTTGGTGGTCAAGCACAGGTATTATTCACTACTGGGTCATGAAACCTAGTCAATCCATTACAGCAGATGTCTACTGCAACCAACTGGATGGAGTGATAAGGATGCTGCAATTAAGTAGCCAAAATTAGTCAATAGAGACAGTCCAATCTTCTTGCAGGACAGCTCAACCACACACTGTACCAACAATGCTGCTCAAACTACAGAAGCTGGACTTGGAAACTCTCTGACATCCACCATATTCACTAGACCTTGCACCAACTGACTACCACTTCTTCCAGGCTTTGGATCACTTCTTGCAAGGAAAAATACTCCATTCTCAACAAGTTGTGGAAAATGCTTTTTGCAATTTCATTACCACTTGCTCTCTAGGCTTCTTTGCTGCTGGCATAAACAAGCTGCTGTTAAGATGGCAAAACTGTGTCAATAGTTTAGGCACATACTTTAATTGTACTGCCTTTTATTTGAGATACAATAAACTTCACTTTTGATTCAAAATCAGACCTTTCATATTTAATTACCTAATACACTCACTAAATTTACCAAATTCAGTCCAGCTTCATGACATTTATCTTGAAAGTTGTTGAATATATCTATTCCCCCTGTTCTGTTAACAAGAGTGCCCAAAGTCAGTAACTCTTTGTAGCAAAGAAAATCTTCTGTTATGACATGAATGAAGTAATAAAACCTGTGCCAAGTCAGTAGTATCAGTTGATTCATCCAAAGTGATTGAATAACATATATCTTCCTGATAAAGTATTGAATTTGTTATGCTGACAGCAAATTCATGCTGCCAATCACTTATGGTTTTCCTTGAAAGAGGTGCATTATCAGGCTCTAAGCATCCTACAACTTCAACAATGCATTCTTTCACAGTTTCTACGTCCCTGAATGGCTTTCCTTTTTCCCCAAGTATATAAACGACTTTATAAGTTGCTTCACTGGCATTATTTCCAGGTCTTATTGCTGCTTGAAAGAATTGTTTTTGCTTTTGCTTTTCATTTTTTAATTTCTGCTTTGCAACCTTTTGCACCTCTTACTCTAAAATATTTGTGGTCCTTGTGAGCGTTATAATGCTGATGAGCATTGAATTTCTTTAATGTTGATATTGCACTATCACAAAGCAAACGAATCATCTTATCTTTAGCAGAAACAAGATAATATTGCAATTCCCAATCCTCATTAAAAAATTTGTTTTCTTCCTTCAGCATTCTCTTGGTCTTCTTTGACATGGGCTGCTAAGTAGACAAAATTAAAAAATACTGTAAAGCCATGCAACTGTTCACAAATTCCACTTCAAACAGAAACATGGTGCACTGTTGTCAAAAGCTGTTAGCAGACTGACGTACTCAATCCCCCAAAACTCTCGCCAACCAGCCTCTTGCAGTAGTGGCGCCAGTCAGACAGCTGTCAGTTTAGCCCTTATGGCTTACTACTGTTCTAGTTGTGCCAGAGAATCTGGGAGGATTATTTTGTTGAAACTTATGTTATTCTTTGTTATTTTAAGTATGTTCATTTTAAAAATAAAATAAAAAGATGAAAGATGAACAAAAATGTATTAATAAAAATAAAAGGATTTGTTCTGTGTAAAATTTGGATTCAGTCAAAAGGCCACACTTAAAGACCTAGAAAGCTACATATGGCCTTAAGGCCACAGGTTTCCCACCCTTGTTTTAAATTAATGGGACATTTAGTAATAAATTTTGACTCTAAGTGATAGATTAATAGACATATTTAATTAAGTGTTATTAAGGTATTCTTTTCATGTTTAGGTTTATTTATCCTTAAATTCAGGGTGGAATCTTTTTAAATACATAATTAATATTGAGTGTTTATATGTTAAATATTTGATCTCTGATTTTCGTCTTTAAATTTAGTTTATAAAAGAAAATTTATCTGTGTTTTCACACATCAATTCATATAAGCATCGCTCTCTAGCACTGATTTTTTAATCTCTTTTGGGTCACAGATTCCTTTAAGAAACTGATAAGACTTTAGAACCTTACTCCACAAAAGTTGACATAAGTATAAACATGCATTTTGCAGTTATTTTTAGGGGATTAGCTGGGCATGGTGGCACACACCTGTAATGTAATCCTAGCATTTTTGGAGGCTGAGGCGGAAGGATCACTTGAGGCCATGAGCTCCAGACCAACCTGAGCTACATGGTGAGACCCTATCTCTACAAACAAAAAAAAAATAGAAAAATTAGCCAGGCATGGGAGTGCACACCTATACTCCCAGCTACTTAGGAGGCTGAGGCAGGAGGATCGCTTGAGCCCAGGAGTTCAAGAGTGTGGTGAGCTATGAAGACACCACTGCACTCTAGCCTAGGCAGTAGGTAATAGGAATAGGCAAGACACTCTCAAAAAAAAAAATTTTATGGGGGGTTGCAGACTCCTTAAAACTTACCCTTGTACTCCAGGTTTAGAGCAACTGTTTCTATAATAATAGAGTTCATAAATTTGTATGTATTATTACAATTAACATATTACATATGTTGTGTTTTCTGTTAGGGTTACCTCATTTTTCTTCTGGTCTTTTCCGCTGCTGGGGAAGGGATACTTTTATTGCGCTTAGAGGCACACTGCTGATTACTGGACGCTATTTAGAGGCCAGGTAGGAGACCTTCTAAAGTATTCCAGTGCCAAGTGTATATCTAAATGTTTTTTACATGCTCTTCAAACTTTCCCATCTATTCTCAACATTTGGGAGGTATGTTTTCTTTAGGTGTTTTTTATTTTATTTTATGTTTACTTAATATCATAGAATTTCAAAAGGATGAAAATCTTTAAAGTTACTAAATTCTAGTTCTTCATATTACAGGTCAGGTTATCTTTAGCATTAGCTAATTACTTCAATAAAACTAAAAATTTTATAACCATTTTATGACTTCTATAATGAAACCACTGCCAGCTCTTTGAGTCTTTAGAAAGAATTATAATATCAGGCCTTCTTCTATTTGTTGTCAGACCTTATAAGCTCTAGCTTTATTTTTTCTAGACTTAAAATGGTGTTCTCTTATGTCACAATAGAATGAATGAATTTATCAGAGGTTGAAAAGCTCTACAGCAGTGCCACTCAAAATGTGTTCCACAAATCAGTAGTGTCACCATCACCTGAGAACTTGTTAGAAATAGATTCTTAGTCCTTATGCCAGACCTCCTGAATCCAATCCTGGGTATGGGTGGGTAGGATTGGTCAGCAGAAATCTGTGTATTCACAAGATCTCCAGATGGTTATCAGCAGGCTAAGGCTGAAGTTTCAGAATACTACTCTAGGGGGCTCCCATTTATCACTTCTATGCACTATCACAAATCTCTGCTTCATAACTTTACATATGGCTATCTAGATCATGGGTCAGCAAACTATGACCCATCACCTGTTTTGTATAACCTGTGAGCAAAGAACAGCTTTTACCTTTTTAAAGGGTGATTAAAAAGAAAAAGAGAGAAGTGACAGAGACCATATATGGCCCACAAAGCCTAAAATATTTACTATATGACCCATTATAGAAAACGTTTGCCTACCCCTGATCTAGATGATTCCTGGAGGATAATGTATTTGTTAAGGTAGTGGTAACTGCTATAAATTATAAACACTTAAATTTCAATGGCTTTTCACAGACAAAATTTATTTCTTGCTGTAGTCAGTAGGCAACTTTCCACATAGTGATTCAGGGATATATGTCCTTCTATCTTGAGGATCTATCATCTTCCATGGCTTCTGAGTCCTCTCCAGGCATCTGGCAGAGAGGGAAAGAGCCTGGGGAAACACACCTATTTTCCCTGCACTTAAACATGTATCAGTTCTATTCACATTCTGTTGCTTAGAATACAGTTACCTGGCCACAACTAACTGTTAAGTTTGGTTAGGAAATATAGGAAACCTATTTTGGTGGACACATATCTCTACTATAGATGGTTCTGCTTCCTCCCTCTACAGAGGTATTCATGAATCAGAGGGGCTTTTAATTAAAGTGTATAATATTGTTCCAGATGGTTAAGATTAGTAGCATTCTGAATACCTTTTATTAATTGGAAGTATCACTGTTCATACTAACACTTTTCTACTTTAGAAAATAAAGAGTTTCCTGGTGTGCTGTTATTTAAAAGAAAGTCATTAAGCTGAGACATGGAATTTAAAAAATTTAGAATAGTTTAACCAAAAAGCACTAAGGTCTAGATATTTTAAATGGCTTTTCCAAGGTTATCAAGATGGCAAAGCTAGGATTTAGACTTCAGCCTTCTTATTTCTCAATCTCATGCTTTTTCTAAAATGCCATGCTCTCTTACAAAATAAGTTGTCATTTGATATATAATAATAGAATAATACTTTAAGAGATAAGCTATCTTCTACCAGTTTTTAACCATGAATTATGTTTTTTACCGTCAGCTTATACCAATTTATTTTCTTATGTTTTGCACGTGGTTTCTTCTATTTAAAATAATAAAGTTCATATTTAGTAGTTACTTAGATTTTGAAATACCACAGATTTCAAAAGTAGAGTCCCATACCTCACTCTACAGATGAAAAAAACTGTACCAGAGAGGTTAAGTTACACAGGTTGTTAGAGAAAAATCCTAGGCTAGAATCTAGGTTTCTGACTTTAGTTCACTGCTTGTTCTATCATATTATGATTACTTTCTACATGAAAATATAAAGAAATAGGGCAGGAGAGAAAATGCATCTATAATATCATCACCAGTAGTGACTGACTTTTGTCTTAGATATTTTAAGTGTTTGTTTTCATTTCAAGTGATCCACCTTATTCTGTTATTTTAGGAATATTATTTTAGCATTTGCTGGTACCCTGAGGCATGGTCTTATTCCTAATCTCCTTGGTGAAGGAACTTATGCCAGATACAATTGCCGGGATGCTGTGTGGTGGTGGCTACAGTGTATTCAGGATTACTGTAAAATGGTTCCAAATGGTGTAGACATTCTCAAGTGCCCAGTATCCAGAATGTATCCTACAGATGACTCTGCTCCTTTGCCTGCTGGCACACTGGTAATGATCATTTCTTCAAATAATATTTTCCTGAAAAATAACTTTTAGCTTCTAACATAAAAATAAATATAATTAAGAATCCTAATCTTAAGAATTATTCAAATATCAGTATTTATTTAGCACCTGCTGGTACTATTAGGCATCACAGAAATAAGACTTGCTCCTTGCCTAAAGAGCTTGCAACATGGTAAAAAGATGATGTGTACATAAATGTGATCATTGCAAAAAGGTATAGAGGAAGTGCTATGTAATTGCTTAAAAGCGAGAGAGAAATCTAGCAGGTGGGTCTCAAGGAGAACTTTGTAAAGTACCTAAAAGTTCACCTAAATGAGCCTTAAAAGGTGAGTGGGATTTCAGGAGAGATGGAGGAAGTTGTGGAGAAACATTAAAGATGGAAGGAATAATAAAGCACGTAATGGACCGAAGCACTGTTTAGGGGACACACTGTACAGTCTGCTTTGGCTTTGTGTTCAGGTCACTGTAGGACAGTGAGAGATAACACAAAGGGTGAAGCAGGTTATGGAGAACCTTGACTAACAGTCCAGCAAGTTTAGAGCTTTCCTTATGAACAGTGAAGAATGGACACATTTTTTAGTGTTTTTTTTCCTTAAGAATATGCAATAATGATACTGTACTTTTTCTACTCCTGGTCTGTCTTTATATTATAGTTTGTTTGGTATATATGAATGTAGGGGGATGGTATAATATCTATGTGAACCTCTTCAAGGTTAGCATATACTCGTGTCCCCATGACATTTATTTATATCAGGAAGTATTCAAAAAACATCCAAAATAATTTTTTTACCTGTCTTCTATTATTGACTGATATTTCAGCTATAGTGAATATCGGCTCATGCTATCAGGCAAATATTTATTTTATATATAACTATTTATTTTCTCACAGTTTGTCCAAGAAAATTTTCCATAGCTTCTTAATTTTATAATTACTAGTAGAATTTTTATATGATAGAGTTTTCATTTTATTCAGTTTTTTTAAATGAGATAATAAACATATAAGGACTCTAAACATTTTACTTTTGCTTAACATTCTTTACCTTATTTTTTAGAATATTATTATATAGTTCCCTATATGTCATCCTGAATATCACATTTATTAATTATTTGGGTAAAGAAAATGGCCTCTGCATTCACTGGGGATATTTTCCAATGTCATCATAGATCCTCAAATTTGAGATCCCCCTTTCACACACTGTTTATCCACATTACTTATAGATGCACATTATAAGACTAGCAATGCCAATTTAAAATGGGTTCAGCATTTTGATAAGCTAGGTTCATTTATTAGCTGTATAGTTCACTCTAATAGAAACTATATAAGCTCCCTAGATTGGTTTTTATGTATCAGCAAAATTATAAATTATTTCACATCATAGACATGAATAGCCAAAACTATTGATGTTATTAGGATGCCAAACTGTATCATGTGGTGTATAGGAGCTACTTCTTTCCTCAGCCACATCCTGATCCTTATTTTTACCTCCAAAGGAAAATATATGTTTTCATATCATTTCAATTATAGGATTTGGGGGAAGATAAGAGAAATGTAATTTCTAACAGAGGTAACATCCATTATATCCCAAACAGGATCAACCATTGTTTGAAGTAATACAGGAAACTATGCAAAGACACATGCAGGGCATACAGTTCCGAGAAAGGAATGCCGGTCCACAGATAGATCGAAACATGAAGGATGAAGGTACATAAATTTAACTACATTGTAAAGATTTACTGATGTGAAATTAAGCCTTGTGATTATTTGTTTACTTGATAAGTATTTATTTGTGTGCAAACCCTTGGGATATAACAGTGAAAAAAATTAACAGTTCCTGATCTTGGTTTATAATTTCTAGAGGAAAGATAAAATTTCTAACCTTTTTGTTAGCCAGTTTGAAAGGTAATTTTGGTAGTTGCATTTATAATCATAATACTTGCCATTAACCGAGTTCTAAGTGCTAGGCATTATCATAACTACTTTGCCTATGTTATTCCCATTTAACATTCCCAAGAACATTGAGAATGAGTTATATTGTTTCCATTTTTACTAAATGAAAAGACTGAAGCAGAGTAGCTTTCTCAGAATCACACAGCTACTAGGTGGCAGAGGTAGGATTTCATCCATGGTCTCTGTGTCTATAGCCTAGGCTCTTATAAAGTACTTTTTGTTAAAAGGATTATTTATATATAGAATTAAAATAAATATGCTTTAACTTCTTTTAACGTCATCTTATGACATACTCTCATTACCAGCCAATGCAAAGCTAATAATAATTTATTTCATTTTATTCCCCATTCCCTATTTTATTCCCCATTTAACTACATTCTAAAGATTTACTGATGTGAAATTAAACCTTGTGATTATTTGTTTACTTGATAAATATTTATTTGTGTGCAAACCCTCAGGATATAACAGTGAAAAAAATTAACAGTTCCTGATCTTAGTTTATAATTTCTAGAGGAAAGATAAAATTTCTTAGAGAACCAGTCCAGTGGGTTTGTTGTATATTTATTTTGTAAAGCATGTATCATTTTATATGCCTGTAGTTTTTTTTAATTTTGTAATTTTGAAAGAATTAGAGACTCATAAAGGTTGCAAAAATGATACATAGAATATCTTGAACCTTTCACTCAGCTTCTTCAAATGGAGGTACTGTATATAACTATGGTACAGAATCAAAATCAGGAAATTAACATTAGTATGGTGTTTTCAGTTTTCACCAGTTTTTACATTAACTTGTTTGTGTGTGTGTGTGTGTGTGTGTGTGAGTGTGTAGTTCCATGCAATTTGACCCTATGACCACAATCAAGATACAGAATTGCCATCACAAATATCTTTGTATGCCCCTTTATAGTCATACCTACCTGCTTCACCCCTACCCCTGGTCCCTGGCAACTGTTAATCTGTTCTGCATCTCTACAGTTTTACCATTTTGAGAATGTAATATAAATGGAATCATAGAGTATATAACCTTTTGAGATTGTTTTTTTTCACTGAGCATAATGCCCTTGAGATCATCCAAGTTGTTGCATGTATCAATAGTTTATTCCCTTTTTTTGCTGAACAGTATTTCTTTTTATGCATATATACCAGAGTTTATTAAACCATTCATCCACTGAAGGACATTCAGGTTGTTTCCATTTTTGGCTAATATTAATATAAATAAAGGTACTATGAACATTCATATACAGGTTTTTGTGTGACACATGGGTTTTCATTTCTCTGAGATAAATGCCCAAGAATGGGATCGGGTCATGTAATAAATACATGTTTTATTTTATAAGAAACTGCCAAACTATTCCAGAGAGGTTGTACCATTTTAAATTCCCACCAACTGGAAATATCCTGTTTCTCCACATCTCAACAGTTTTTGGTGTTACCACATTTTTTAAGCTGTTAGTTGCATAGACCACTGCACATTGTGGTTTTAATTTGCATTTCCCTAATAGCTAATGGTGTTGAATATCTTTTCATGTGCTTATTTCCCATCCATCTCCACCCTTTGCTGAAATGTCAGTTCATGTCTTTCACCCATTTTCTAATTAGAGTGCTGGGTTTTTGACTATTGGAGTTTTTTTTTATTGTAAAATACACATGTGTATATTCATCATTTTACCATAAAATTGACCATTTTAGCCATTTTTAAGTATACAAATTTAGTTGCTTTAAGTACGTTCAGAGTTTTGTGCAGCCATCATCACCATCCATCTCTAGAACTTCTTCATCCTCCCAAACTGAAACTCTACCTAGTGAACGGTAGCTCCTCATTATCCCCTCTCGCAGCCCCAGTTTCTCTCTCTGTTAATTTGAACGTTCTAGGTACCTCAGATAAGTGGGATTATAAATATTTCCCCTTTGGGATCTGGCTTATTTCACTTAGTATAATTTCTTTCTGAATTCTTTTTTTTTTATTATTGATACATGCTAGTTATACAGTATTAGAATAATTCTTTTAAGGTTCAGCCATGTCGTAGCATGTGTCAGAATTTCATTTCTCTTTTTTGAGTTTCTTATTGTGAGAAAAAAACACATAACATTAATTTTACCATCTTAACCATTTTTAAGTTCAGTAGTGTTAAGTATATTCACATTGTTATGCAACGGATTCCTCAAACTTTTTCATCTTGCAAAACAAACTCTATACCCATTAAATGCTAGTTCCTCCTCCCTCCCCACTCCCCCTAGTCCCTGACAACCACTTTTCTACGTTCTCTTTCTATGATTCTGACTCTTTTAGGTACTTCAAATGAGTAAAATCATACTCATTTGTCCCCCATACTCATTTGTCCCCCCAGTATTTGTCCCTTTGTAACTGATTTATTTCATTTGGCATAATGCTGAGGTTCATCCACAGAGTACCATATGACAGAATTTCCTTTTTGTAAGGCTGCATAATATTCCATTGTATGTATACTACATTTTCTTTATCCATTCATCTGTCAATAGACATTTGGATCACTTCCACCTTTTGGCTCTTGTGAATAATACTGCAGTGAACATGGGTATGCAAATATCTCTTCAAGATCCTGTTTTCAGTTCTTTTGAATATATATCTAGAAGTATAATTTCTAGATCATCTGGTAATTCTATTTCTTATGTTTTGAGGAACCTCTATAATGTTTTCCATTATAGCTATACCCTTCACATCCCCACCAACAGTGTGCAAGGGTTCCAATTTTTCTGTATCCTCATAAATACTTGTTATTTTGTGCTCTTTTGGTAGTAATGATCCTAGCAAATGTGAGGTGATATCTCATTATGGTTTTGATTTGCATTTCCCTAATGATTAGCAATGTTGAGCATCTTTTTATATGCTTGTTTGCCAATTATAGGTCTTCTTTGGAGAATTATCTATTCAATTCTTTTGCCCACTTTTTAATTGGGTCATTTGGTTTTTTGGTTGTTGAGTTGTAGAAGTTCCTTATATTCTGGATATTAACCCCTTATCATATATATGATAATTTCATTCCTTTTTAAGGCTGAATGATATTCCATTGTATGTATATACCACATTTTGTGTATCCATTCATCAGTGGACATTTGGGTTGTTTTTACCTTTTGGCTATGATGAATAATGCTGCTGTGAACATTGGTGTATAAATGTCTGAGTCCCTACTTTCACTTCTTTTGGGTATACCTAGAAGTAGAATTACTGTATCACATGATAATTCTTTGTTGACCTTTTTGAGGAACTGTCCACCGTGGCTGCACCATTTTATATTCCCACCAATAGCACACAAGGGTTCCATTTTGCCACATCCTCACCAATATTTATTATTTGCTGATTTTTTGATAGTGGCCATCCTAATGGGTATGCAGTAGTATCTCATGGTTCTAATTTGCATTTCAGTGCTCAGTGATGGTGAGCATCTTTTCATGTGCTTAACAGTCATACATATATCGTCTTTGGAGAAATGTCTATTCATGTCCTTTGCCTATTTTTAAACTTAGTTGTTCGGGTTTTTATGGTTGAGTTATAAGTTTCTTTGTATACTCTGGATTTTAAATTTTTATTAGCTATGGTTTGCAAATATTTTCTCCCATGCTGTGGGGTGTCTTTTCACTGGCTTAAAAGTGTCCCTTGACATACAAAAGTTTCTAATCTTGATGAAATCCAGTTTATCTATTTTTTCTTTTGTTGCCTGTGCCTTTTGTGCCATATGCAAGAAATCTTTGTCATGAATCCAATGTCAGGTTTGCCCTGTATTTTTGCCTAAGAATTTTATAGTTTTAGTTCTTACATTTAGGTCTTTGATCCATTTTGAGCGAATTTTTGCATATGATGTAAAGGTCCAGTTCATTTTTATGCATGTGGATATCCAGTTTTCCCAGCACCATTTGCTGAAAAGATGGTCCTTTCCACTTAATAGTCTTGGCATGCTTGCAAAAAAACATCTGACCATAGAGGGCGACACCCCTGTGTCATTGCCGGGCAGAGCATGGAAGTTCACACTTCCCTCTTAGTCTCTGCTGACAACATGCTGGCAGGAGAAGGGAACACTGTTCTAAACTACTTGCTCTCACTGAGTGCAAGTGGAATCCCATGCTCCCCACTCAGTCTCTGCTAACATCACATCAGCAGGGGAGGGAAACACCACACTGGGCTGCATGCTGCTGCCATACTGCCCCAGGGCCACCTGCTACTGCCAGGTTGGGGTAGAAGTTCAGACTCCCCACTTGGTCTCTTCCAGCACCACATCAGTAAGGGAGGGGAGCACCGCCCTGGGCCATCTGCTACCACCAGATGGGGGACATGAGTCCCAACGTGCACTCAGTCTCCACTAACATTCCAGGGAGTCTGAACACACACGGTGTTCGGCTGGGATAGGGTGAATGTTATCATAAAAGTTTCTGTCTGGTTGGGGTACTACTTTCCTTTCCAAGTAAGTATGTTTTTCTTGGACCTTTTTGTCAGCACCTGTTGGAGGTTGTGGGTTGCTTCTCCAGGGCAACATCGCATCCAAACTGGGATATAGAGGAATAAAAAGAAAAAAAAAAAACAAAAAACCAGGGAACTCACTACCCTGTCATTCCTCAAGTCTTCACATTTCTAGCCAATCTGCCTTCCTCTTTACACATTTAGAGTCCTCTTATGATAGTCTGTTGTGTTACACTCAGGGATTTTTGTTGTACTTAGGAAGAACAGGGAGAAATGAGTCTTCTCCCCTTGTCCATAACCAGAAGTTTTTGTATAATGCCTTATGTATTTATGTGTGTTTGCATATGTGTAAATTACTTATATATTATGTAGTATATATTCAGTATACTATAACATATATACTATATATAATGAATTTGTTTTAAAATTCTGCACAAATATATTAGGCCTAGCCATATAAACATACATAGTTGTATATATTAGTATTATCCATAACTAAGCTTTTACAAAAAAGGTATCTTATTATACATATCCTTTTGCAACTTGTTTACTCAATCATTTTGCTTTGGAGATTTATTCATTTTGGAACATGTAATAATCTAGTTCATTAATTTTAAATGGTATAGAGAGTTGACCATTGTATGAATAAGCCACAGTGTTTATCCATTCTTCTAGTGAGCAGTTTTCTTGTTAATGCAAGCAATGTGGCAATAAATATCCTGTATACATCCCCATTTGCCCATAAATAAAGGTTTCTGTAGAGTATATACAGAAATGAGATTACTATGTGGTAAAATATACATATCTTCAACTTTTAAGGTATCACTAAATTGAGCTTCAGAGTGGTTGGTCTAGTTTATTCCTTTAAAGTTTTATAAATGTTTTAAATAAAAATATTTATTTTATATGCTACATATAGCATATAATTATAAAACATTTTATTTCATAAATGTGTTATTTTGCTTTTTTAGGTTTTAATATAACTGCAGGGGTGGATGAAGAAACAGGATTTGTTTATGGAGGAAATCGATTAAATTGTGGCACATGGATGGATAAAATGGGAGAAAGTGATAGAGCTAGAAACAGAGGAATCCCAGCCACTCCAAGGTAGTGTTTATTTTATAGCACATATATAATTAGTCCCTTTTTAAAAAGCACATACTTGTATAATCTTTTATTCTATTAGCCATAAACTTGCCACATTAAATCAGAATCTCCCTCCCTCCCTCCTACTTCCCCTTCCCATCATCCCTTCCTCTCCCTCGTTATACAGACACAGTCCTCTTGGTATAAGTTACCAAGTAAAGCTATCTATTCTGTCCTGGAAGTTCTCATGGGTTGATTCTCTATAAGCACCTCAAAAGAAAGTTTTATAATTCATTATCCCAGTAGTTAAGACATTTTCTTTTTTTTTAAGAGACAGTTTCTAACTCAGTCGCCCAGGCTAGAGTATAGTAGCACAATCATAGTTTGCTATAGCCTTAACCTCATGGGCTCAAAGGATCCTCCCATCTCAGCCTCCCAAGTAGTTAAGACTACAAACACACACCACAATACCAAATAATTTTTTTATTTTTTTATAAGAAGCAGAGTCTCACTATGTTGTCCAGGCTGGTCTTGAATTCCTGGCCTCAAGCAGTCCTCCCACCTCAGCCTCCCAAAATGCCAGAATTACAAGTGTGAGCCACTGTACCCAGCCAAGACATTTTCTTAACTTGAACTGCTTTCAATGCAAACATTTCATTATGCAAGCATGGAAAACAACCCATTGTTCTGTCTTTTATGAAATCCTTTCACTTCTTGAACCTTTTTCCCCCTAATTTTTTCTAGCATTTGTCATTTAAAACATTTTTATTGTTATGACTTTAAATGCTTTAATACAGTATCAGAAGCTATCAGAAAATATTATCAGAAGCTATCAGAAAACAGCTTCTGATACTGTATATTAAGCTGAGACGCTACTTTCTTATTCTAAATTTTATCTTCAGTTGGAATTCTCCAAAAAATAATTTAAGTTACTATCTTTACGTGCTTTGCAAATTATTTTAAAACCCTGTTTAATTTTGGTACATTATTAGATCTTGTACTTCCCTTTTATTTTCCTTAAAAATGAGCTTTTACATTGATGTCTCTATGCCAAGGAACCACTTAGCCAAAAAAATTAAAAAATTTTAAAAATAAACAAATTAATGTCCCCACCTCCCCTGGCTTTCTCCAGCACTATATACCAGGTTTACTCTCTTTTCTCTCGTGCTCTCAGTATTCTCTGGCACTCTACTCCTACCTTTTTCCAACTGCCATCTCCTTTTACTCCATAATATCCATTCTACATCATAGAATTTTTAAAAGATGTTAGGAAGATAGACAATGGCAAAATAGTATAAGGAGAGATTTCTTATACAATATACATTCTTATAAAGTGAGGATTACTTGGAGAGATAGTTGGTTTATTATATAATAATTATATGATTCATCAAAATTGTTTGCTGAATTTACTTTAATGCTTAAATGACTCCAACTTGGAGAATAAAATTTATTTTTTAATTTTAGAGATGGGTCTGCTGTGGAAATTGTGGGCCTGAGTAAATCTGCTGTTCGTTGGTTGCTGGAATTATCCAAAAAAAATATTTTCCCTTATCATGAAGTCACAGTTAAAAGACATGGTATGCTGTTCATTTTATTTACAAAGAAACTTCAAATGTACTGTCTGTATGCACAGCCTATGTAATCATCATTTGATTCAATCAACTAATATTAGAAAGTCCTTGAGATGAATAGAGAAGAAAAACCATTAATTTACTAATATGAAAAATTGTCACAAATCCGGTTTCTAACCACATTTTTATAGCAACTTTGAACTGACATAAGAAAAGCAGCATAGTTATTGCCTTTATTGTGCTTCTCTTTTTCCTCAGTATGATTATGAGCAATTCTGTGAGCAATTTTGAAATTTTTACGTCTCTTTTTTTCTTTAATTCTTTTTCTTGAACAATGCTGCACAATATGTATAATGTGAATCACACACATAATTTTAAATTTTCTAATACCCACATCTAACAAAAAAGAAACAGGTGAAATTATAAGATATTTAACTCAATGCATGTAAAATATTATTTCAACACAATCAATATAAAATGATTCATGATCTATTTTACATTCTTTTTGGGTGGTGCTAAGTCCTCGAAATCCAGTGTATATTTTACATTTATAGCACATCTCAATTCAGATGTGCTACATTTTCAAAACTAGGTAATTTATTACCTTCTATTATAGTAGGTAAGAGTAAGTTAATTAAATATTACTCTTTGGCGATAACTAGGTATGTAAATTGCTTTGAATCTTTAAAACTTATTTTTCAGGAAAGATTGTGAGAGTCTCATATGATGAGTGGAACAGAAGAATACAAGACAACTTTGAAAAGCTGTTTCATGTTTCAGAAGACCCTTCAGATTTAAATGAAAAGCATCCAAATCTGGTTCACAAACGTGGCATATACAAAGATAGTTATGGAGCTTCAAGTCCTTGGTGTGACTATCAACTCAGGCCTAATTTTACCATAGCAATGGTTGTGGTACGTGATTTGTTCATTAATTTTTAATTTCAAAAAATGTGGTAGAGTTTTACTTAGTTCTTTATTCCCACTTGTTTTCTAATTCACTTAATTACTAAAAAGTAGGGTATTGCCTACTGGATAGTCTTTTCTAATTAATAAAGTATTATGCATATCACCTTTAGCCTATAGTATTCAGCAAAAAATAGAATATAATAGATGATAACTAATGAAGTGTTTCCCAGTGTTTTTTCACATCATAGCACACTTAGAGAATGATATTTTTAGAGCACACTGGGCTAAATGGACTAGGCTGCTTGTGCCAGATCCAACTGCCCCAGTTAGCCCAGGCCTCACCCAGATACCCTGAAAACTGAAGGTGTCTGTATTTCGAGCCACCTGTGCCACAAGCAGTGCCTCAGCACGCTAGATGGAAAGCTCTGAACAAGTGAATTAAAGTGGGTAGCTTAAATTCACGTTCTATTTCCTTTGTAATTAGTTCTACAGTAATGTAATTAGTTCTATCTAGCCAAGAATTCTAGACTCTCTCATTTTTTATCTATACTTTAAACTATAAGGATAGTAAAATAGAGAAGGCCTGTATTCTTCCATGCCTGCCTAGCTGTTTCCTCTTTGTCAAGAAGTGTACTAAACATAGAACTATAAATTATAGTAGAATGAAAAATGCAAAGGTACACAAAGATAGCTTCAGTTCAGTATGCATTTGATTTCATTTAATCATTAAAATTAATGCAGATTCTTGGTCAACAATACTGTCGCTCCTTCTCCACATCACAGGTAAATTTACTCAAGCTATTGGAGTAAATGAATACTTGTTGACTAAGTTCTTCTGTATTTGATAAGCTATTGTAGGCCGGGCGCGGTGGCTCACGCCTGTAATCCCAGCACTCTGGGAGGCCGAGGCGGGCGGATTGCTCAAGGTCAGGAGTTCGAAACCAGCCTGAGCAAGAGCGAGACCCCGTCTCTACTATAAATACAAAAGAAATTAATTGGCCAACTAATACAAATAGAAAAAATTAGCCGGGCATGGTGGCACATGCCTGTAGTCCCAGCTACTCAGGAGGCTGAGGCAGTAGGATTGCTTGAGCCCAGGAGTTTGAGGTTGCTGTGAGCTAGGCTGATGCCACGGCACTCACTCTAGCCTGGGCAACAAAGTGAGACTCTGTCTCAAAAAAAAAAAAAAAAAAAGAAAGCTATTGTAAATCTTCTGAAGAATGAATTAGACAAGTTTAGGTATATTCTGCCTTCAGAGTAGCTGTGGCAACTTCCTTTTGGAGCTGGGTAACTTTTTTGAAGTGGCACAAGGAAATAATCACCTCTAAGAGCTTTCCTAACTTCTAAGGCCAAAAACCACAAACCTCATAGGATTAGATCTGGTTAGGCATCTGCACTCAAATTCTGACTCACACTGGATTTTTAAATAATTTTTATTTTTTTCCAAGTTTATGAATAGTTTGTGTGGATGGGAACTAATTCTTCTGTGACCTTAAACATTTGTATGTTTGGTTTTAACATTCATTAGGCCCCTGAGCTCTTTACTGTAGAAAAAGCATGGAAAGCTTTGGAGATTGCAGAGAAAAAACTGCTTGGTCCCCTTGGCATGAAAACTTTAGATCCAGAGTAAGTTGGAATATAAGAATTAAGAATGTTAATATTATATTTAATCCAAATACATTGACATCAACCATAATTTTTTTGCTTACCAATAACATCTCTAAAATTGCATTCAAACTGAGTTTTTAAAAACATCTTCTATATCTTCATTAAGCATCAGTATTCAAAATGCTTTTAGCTTTATATTTAATAATCAATAAAAAAGTTTTAAATTTATAAAACTAGTATGTAATGAATATTTTCTAATGCCTATTTTTTCTGATTGTAATACATGATTATTGTATACATTGGAAAGTACAGATGTATATAAAGGAAAAAGTAAGATTTCTTAAAATCTCTTCATCTGTAGATAAGCATCACTGCCATCTGGCCTATTGCCCAGGCTTTTCTGTGCACTTTTGTATCAATTTTGACCTTACATGTATGTACATACCTAGAAGAACTTACATAAAAATTTCAATTTCTTGCCACATTTCCCTACCCTCAATTCTACTCCTCAGAGGCAATTTTGTAAGGTGTTTCTCCTAGTAGTTCCTTCCATATTTCTAAACAATGTGTGTATGCAGCTATTTTACGATTTTCTATCATGCCTGAATATTAGGCATGATTTGTTTACTTTTTGTGATGACAGATGAGGATTTAATTCTGTTCCACCTCACCACTATTCCTCTCCATCCTTTCTATGTAATTATTCCATTCTTTTTACTTAAAAAATAATTTTGTTTTTATCTTATGATTGTGTTTATGCCATATTGCTTGTCTTTTCTAACTTTGTTTTTTCTTGAGTTTCTAATGACCTTTTTTTTTCCAACTGTTTTTCCTGAAAGTTTGATACTCATCATCAATTTGTTCTATATCAATAGATGATAGGACCCCATTCCCTGCAATTTTTGTAGACTTTTCCTACTTTACTGTGTACACATTTCAGTCTTGAGATGCAAAATTTTGTATGTGTATTCTTATCTACATTCTGATATGTTGTCCACATTTTCGGAGGAGTAGGAACCACTGGTCAAAACTAAGTTTGTAATATTGTTTAGCTTATATGTATATTATAAATTCTGTGTATTATAGCAATTTTTAAATAACTTCATGGAGAAGCATGTTTATTAACTCAAATCATTGTATGTATTTTAATTATTATACAAAATTTATTAAAGATCTAGTGAAATAATTGACTTTAAACCAACCAATATTTAGTGTTAGGCTAACTCCTTGAAGGCAAGATGCCTGAATAGCTTATTTTTTTTTTCATTAGCCAGTATTTGTTAATCATTCCCTAACACATTGTTAAAGTCCTCTGAACTCAGTATATACTAATTGAAATTTAAATAGATCATTTACTAATGCTGAGCTTATTCTATAGATGGTATGACAAAATAATTTGATTATTTCTCTTACCTTTGCTATAGAAATTGTTCTAATATAATGTCTGATCTTTTATTTAACTTAAATTTCAATCATTTTGCAGTGATATGGTTTACTGTGGAATTTATGACAATGCCTTAGACAATGACAACTACAATCTTGCTAAAGGCTTCAATTATCACCAAGGACCTGTAAGAATTTAATTTCTTACCTCTGAGGTTTCATTTTAAATTATTTTTCACATAATTTTAGATATTCATAGTTCTTTTTTTTTTCTTTTCTTTGAAATCATCTTTTTAGGAGTGGCTGTGGCCTGTTGGGTATTTTCTTCGTGCAAAATTATATTTTTCCAGATTACTGGGTCCGGAAACTAATGCAAACACTATATTTTTGGTTAAAAACGTTCTTTCCCGACATTATGTTCATCTTGAGAGGTAAGTCATCAGGGGCATGTAATTTCCATAACTAGTATTTAGCCAATTTATTAGATATTAGATAAATAAAATTTCCTAAGAATTCATTTCTGTATCTCCTAGGTATCCAATGAAATTTGAAAACTATACTCTTTAATAGAATGAGTTTTATCATGTAATTTTCACCTTCCCTTATTATTTATTTATTTGAAGTTGAAGACTTGATATTGTATGACTTATACATATGGAATAGTCTTTGATTTTTAAAACTTAGCTGATATTTTTAGATATGGTTAGCACAGGGTAGATACAAACATTTAAAGTACTTTTTAAAAAATAAATAAGTGAAAAAAATTCTAATTAAAAAATTTTTTTAAAAATCAAACTAGTAGTGTTACAGCTCTTTTAGAATTTGTCTAGTAGGTTTTCCGGTCCTCACCGGAAGACACCCTACCTCCCTGCTCAAGTTTAAAAAAAAATAAAAATAAAACTGGTAAAGGTGATATTAAAACAAACTACTCAGGCTGTGCCTTTTGATTTAATTGATTCAAAGATAATCAGCAAATAATCTTCAGAAATACTTTACTTACAATATCAAAGTTTGTGTTTTGACTGTTATTTCAAGAACCATTTCTCACCTCCTTTGTCCTAATTATTAGCAGCTCAAGTGTCAGAGTTATATTTAAAAGATAGTACAAATTCAGTCAAAGGCTATCTTAATTTCTCAAATCCTAGATTATACCTAAATATATCTATGTCTTATTGTTCAGAGTAATTATGTATAAGCAGAATAATTTTATCCACTGTCTTGCAAGCACACAAGGGACTTCTACCATCGTAAATGTTGTATCAAAGTTTGACTCCATTAGCTTAAATGTAGTCATAGAAAACCCAACCGTACCATGATTCTACTACCTCATCTAGAGATTGAATCTGAGTCAATGTGATATGAACATTCTTATATCCTGTTCTTCATTGCCCTATAGTATTTCTCATTATTTGCATTTATTTTCTCTTTCTTCCCTTTGACCATGAAAAGAATGAATATCTGGCACTCCAGGGATCATTCCACTTTTACTCATGATCTCATCCCTTCACACCTGTTCCATGACCAACCTTGCTTTAGTAATTATCCTCTTTCAATCTTTCCTTCTTAAGCTACAAAGATATTTATTGGCCCATCTTAAAATGGGCCTTTGTACTGTTACTATATCAAACCTTGTCCTGTCATTGTCTTTCCAGCACAAACTTCCCATAGCAGTAACCTCCTAATTCCTTTTACTTTCTTGTTTTCTTCTTTTTTTTTTTTTTTTGAGACAGAGTCTCACTTTGTTGCCCAGGCTAGAGTGAGTGCCAGGCCATCAGCCTGGCTCACAGTAATCTCAAACTCCTGGGCTCAAGCAATCCTTCTGCCTCAGCCTCCCGAGTAGCTAGGACTACAGGCACCTGCCACCATGCCCAGCTAATTTTTCTATATATATTTTAGTTGACCAATTAATTTATTTCTGTTTTTTTAGTAGAGACGGGGTCTCCCTCTTGCTCAGGCTGGTCTCGAACTTCTGACCTTGAGGGATCCACCCGCCTCAGCCTCCCAAAGTGCTAGGATTACAGGCATGAGCCACCACACCTGGCCTCCTTTTACTTTCTGACCACCCACTTAGTCATTACCACTTTCAGTCTTGCTTCTGCCCTCAATACTCTGGAGAAGCCCCTCAACAAGATCTCTTCTGTTTCTAAGATCCCATAACTTCCTTCCAGTTCTCTTCGTTGACCTGGCTATTGTATTTAACATTGTTGGTTTCTCCTCTTTTCCAGAAAAACTTTATATTATCTATAGCATTAGGTTTCACTTGTTTACCTAATAACAGTAACAACTGTCATAATAATAAATAATATTTATGGAGCCCTTACTATGTTCTAGGCATTGTTCTAAATGTATGTATATAAAATCCCTCATTTAATCTAAATAAGTATATAAAATAGCTACTATTACTTTTTTTATCTTATGTGACCATGGAGAAGTTACTTCTCTAAGCCTTAGTTTCCTCATCTGATAATGGATAAGCTAGGATTGTTTGTGGGATTAATAAATTAATATATGTAACATGGCCAAGATACTAACTCAGATACGAGCTATCATTAATTATCTAGAAGGTTGAGTGAGTAAGTTGTACAAAGTCAAATGGCAGGTAATCTGGGAGAGCTCTTACTAAACTCCAGGCAGTCTGGCTCCCTAGGCTGTGTTCTTTTTACTGGCTTATCTTCCTAACACCTAAATATATTCATTCTCCAAAAATCTGTCCTTCATATTCCTTTCTTTTATATTTTATATTCCCTCTTGTATATTTCATCTCATTTCATATCTTCACTTATTCAGATAATTTCAGATTCTTTCACAAGCTTCAGTTCTACTTTTCAACTACCTGATGAACTTCTTACCTTAGATGTCCTTCTGCCATCACTCATTTTCCCATGTTTTTTCTCACTATAGTTTCCATTTCTGTTATAGTATTGCCATTATTCATGTTCTTCGAGCTCCAACTTTATAATTTTTCTTCATTACCTCCTCAGAACATCCAGATAAGTTATCAAGACTTAATTGTCTCACTACTACCTTCGAAGAGCTCACCTTTTTTTTTTCTGTTCCCACTTCCCAATTTGTAACTCAGAACCTTTCTCTGGAGTAGGCAGTAGCCTCACACTTCAGTGTCCTCTCTATCTACCTTGTCATATTACCCCAGATTAATTTTGTTGAAATATAACTCTCACAATTTTAACCTTATGTTTAGAAATCGTTAGTAATTCCCCATTGCCTACAGAAAGAAATCCACATACCTTAGTTCCCACAATCTTTTCTCAAACTACCTTTCCATTTTTATTTATTACTGTCTCTTTGTATGCTGCGTTTGATAGCATAGTAGCTTCAGGTATGAGCTTTGGGTTCAGATTAGATTTCAACCTCTGTCCTTGCTGATTACTTTACTTATGACTTTAAGCAAGTTATCTAACCTCTCTGAAATAAATTTCATCATCTATAAAATGAGAATAATATTTCTGACTTTCAAATACTGTCTAAAAAAAAAACAAAAAAAAATGAGAATAATATTGTCTCATTAGTTGCTGTTGAACTTACATGAGAAGATAGATAAAAAATACTTGTAACAACTGGTTTTATCTAAAGTGAATTATTCATCTTTTCATTATCTGTAGAATCTGTAGGGACGTCACCATTCTCATTCTTAATATTGGTAATTTGTATTTTCTCTCCTTTTTCTCTGATCTGCTTGGTTAGAACTTTATCAATTTTGTATATCTTCTCAAAGAACCAGCTTTTGGTTTCATTGATTTTTCTCTGTTGTTTTTCTGTTTTCTATTGATTTCTATTCCACCCTTTATAATTCCCTTTCTTCTCCTTATTTTAGGTTTAATTTGTTCTTCATTTTCTAGTTTCTTAAGTTAGAAATTGAGGTCATTGATTTAATACCTTTCTTCTCTTCTAATATAGATGCTTTATGCTATAAATCCCCCACTAAGTACTAAATTAGTAGCATCCCATAGCTTCTGATATGTTGTGTTTATTTTCATTCAGTTGAAAATACTGTTTTCACTTTTTATTTTTTCTTTAACCCTTAGGTAATTTAGAACAGTGTTATTTAGTTTTCAAATATTTATGAATTTTCCAGAGATGTTCTCTTAATGTTTTCAAAATTAACTCCATTATGGTCAGGGAATATACTTGGTATGACTCTAATCCTTCTAAACTTATTGATAGTTGTTTTATGGCTCAGAATACTTCTATCTAGTTAACCTATTTGCAGTTGAAAAGAATGTGTATTCTGCCATCATTGGGTGGAATATTCCATAAATGTCAATTGGGTCAAGTTGGTTTATAATGTTGTTCAAATTTCTTAGGAATTTTCTGTCTACTTGTTCTCTAAACTGTAGGTGAAGGAGTATTGAAATCTCCTACTATAATTGTCTATTTCTCTATGCAGTTATATTAACTTTTGCCTCATGTATTTTGAAACCATATTATTAGGTATATAAATGTTTAAAGTTATGTTCTCATGATAAAGTGACCTCTTTATTGATATAAAATGGCCTTATTACTGGTAATATTTCTCTGCTTTAAAATCTACCATGTTTGGTATTAATAGAGTCATTCCAGATTTCTTTTGATTAGTTGTTACCATAGTATCTACTTTTCCATCTTTTTATTTTTAACTTATTTGTGTCTTTGTCTTTAAAGTGGATTTTTTATACACAGAAGCATATAATTGGGTCTTGCTGTCTTATGCAGCCTGATGGTCTCTGCCCTTGGAGCATTTAGACCATTTACAATTAAATCTGTTTGTTTTCTGTTTATCCTATCTATTCCTTATCAGCTTTTTCCTCTTTTTGTACTTCTTTTGAATATTTTTTACTCCATTTTATCTCCTTTCTTGGCTAATTAGCTATAATTCTTAACTTGTTTTTTTTAAGGTTGCATTAGGTTTATAGTATACATCTTTATATTTTACATTCAAGTAATATACCAATTCAAGTATAGTATAAGAAACCTAAAATATTGTTCCACAAGGCCTTTGTGCTATTATTGTCATACATCTTGCTTTTACATGTTATAACCCCCACACTACAAGCTTACTATTTTTGTTTAAGTGCACACAGTTATCTTTTAAGGATATTTAAATAATACAGAAAAAAGTCTTATGTAGTTACTCACTTAGTTGCCATTTCCAGTGCTTTTCATATCTTTAGGATTATCCATATTTCCATCTGGTATCATTTTCCTTCTGCCTGAAGGACTTCCTCTATCATGTTTTGTAGAGTGAGCCTCCTCACGATGAATTTTTTCAATTCATATAAGTATGAAAAGTTTTTATTTTGTCTTCATTTTTAAGATAATTTCACCATGTGTGGAATTCAGAGTTGACAAATTTCTTTCTGTGCTTTGAAGTTCTTACATTCTTTTGACAAGAAATCTGCTGTCATTCTTATGCATAATCTGCCATCAATTCCATCCAGTGTTTTTTTCATTTCACACATTGTAGTTTTCATTTCTTGAAGTTTTATCTGGGTCTTTTTCATCTCTAACATATTTCTGCTTAATGTTTAGAACATTTGGAACATAGTTACAGTAGCTATTTTGGTGTACTTGTCCACTAATTCATTTCTGCATTGGTTTTGCTTGGGCTTATTCTCTTTATTATGGGTCCCATTCTCCTGCTTCTTTGCCTAGTATTTTTTTTATTAGATACCAGATATAAATTTTACCCTGTTGGATGCTGGATTTTTTTTTTTTTTTTTTGTATTTCTGTAAATAATCTTGAGCTTTGTTTTAGAATGCAGTTAAACTACTTGGAAATAGTTTGATCCTTTCAGGTCTTGATTTTAAGCTTAGTTGAGCCTGACCAGAACAGCATAAAGTCTAGGACTAATTATTCTCCACTAATGAATCAGGAACCATCTAAGTTCTCTACCCAATGTCCCTAAAATTAAGAAGTTTTCAAATCTGGCTGGTGGGAATAAGGAAGTGTCACGTACTGCTTCATCTTATCCTTTTGGATGGTTCTCTCTTCATTCTTGAGTAGTTCTCTCTTAAGAATTTGCTAATCGGTACACTACAAATACTTGAGTGGGACCCTTTGCATATCTTCAGAGTTCTTTCTTGGCATAGCTCCCTCCTCTCCGGAACTCTGTCCTGCAAATTGTACCTGCCTTAGTCTTCCTAGATTCTCAGATTCAACTCAAGGAAGCTCCATCTTTGTTGCCCTCCCTGTACCAAATCCTGGAAACTCTCTCAAGGCAGTAAAGTGTAGCAATCATATGGCTTGCTACATTTGATTCTCATTTCCAGGGATCACTGTTCTTCATTGCCTATTTAATGTCTTAAAAATTATTGCTTCATATATTTCGTCCCGTTTTTTGTTTTGTTTTACCTTTTTTTTTAGAGACAGGTTCTTGCTCTGTCATCCAGGCTAGAGTGCACCAGTGTAATCATAGCTCACTGTAGCCTTGAACTCCTGGGCTCAAGCAGTTCTCCCACCTCAGCCTCCCAAATACCTATGGGAGTGTGCCACCACACCCAGCTAATTTTTTTATTTTGTAGAGACAGGGTCTCGCTATGTTGCCTAGGCTGGTCTCAAACTGATGGCCTCAGGCGATTCCCTCCACCTCAGCCTCCCAAAGTGCTAGGATTATAGGCATGAGCCACCATACTCAACCTGCCTAGTTCTTTGCTTGTAGCAGACAGGAAAGAAATTCTGTCCACACTACTTCCTATTTGTCACATATAGAAGTCCTTGCTTCTAGCCCAGCAAGATGTTCTAGGTTTATCTTTTACTTTCATGACCACAGCCCTGGAATTGGGCAATTCTCTAAGGAACCCTGGTTCCTTTTTGTTTTTATTTCTTTTTTAAAAAAAATTCAGAGGCAAGAAGGAGCCCTGGTTCTTTATAGTGACAAATATTATTTAGAAGCCAGATGTGGGCACTTGGCATATTCTATGCCCCACAGTAGGTAGAGCTAAGGAACATACATGATACATGCACATAGATACATGCATGCACACATATCTTCATCTCTATGTAGTTCTGTCTCTCTCTATATATTGAAAACCTGAATTCACGCCAGTTCCAATCTGTTGCTCAATATTTAATTCTATTTTTCTCCCTTCCCATATTGTAATTCTCTTTTCCAACAGTTAGTAACCTACTTCCCACACTGGGCTGTCACCACTACATGGACTCTGCTCAGCCTGTTTGGGCCTAATGCCCCACACTAGGCACCTCTGTGGGTGGATGCCCTTGTGCCACCTGGGCTCTGATTACCTGTTCTGGACCACCTCCACCCTTAGTGCTTGGTGTGAACACCTTCCTCATGCCTCCTGGGCTCTGATATCCCACTCCATACCACCTGTTACCTTTTCCTCCTCTCTCCCCCAGCTGTGGTGACCTTGCTTGATCTGTCCCACCTAATCACTTTAGGAATGGGGAAATCCTTATATCAGTATGGGTATGTTCCCTGTTGTGTCCAGATCTAATTATGAGCAGCATATGAGTGGTTTTGTAACCTTGTTTTGTTCCTTAATTTTGGTTGTATATTAGTTTGCTAGGGCTGCCATAACAAAGCACCACGAACTGAGTTACAAACAACAGAAATTGTTAAAATATTGTCTCACAGTTCTGGAAGCCAGAAATCTGAAATCAAGGCAGAAGCAGGGCCATGCTCCCTCTGAAGGTGCTAGGGAAGGATATCTCCCAGCCTTCTTCCTTGCTGCTGGTAGTTCTGTGGCTTGTGGCAGCAAAACTCCCATCTTCATGTGTCACTCTCTCCGCATGCATGTCTGTGTCCAGATTTCTCCTGTTTATAAAGACAGTGGTTATATGGGATTAGGGCCCACCCTACTCCAGTATGACCTTACCTTAACTAATTATGTCTGCAATTACCCTATTTCCAAATAGGTTCACATTCTGAGGTACTGGGGGTTAGGAATTCAACATATGAATTCTAAGGCGAAGACACAACTCAACCCATTACAAGTACCCAGGTATCCAGCATCAGAAATTTGGCATTTTAGGCCAGGCATGGTGGCTCATGCCTGTAATCCTAGCACTCTGGGAGGTGGAGGCGGGTGGATTGTTTGAGCTCAGGAGTTCAAGAACAGCCTGAGCAATAGCAAGACCCGGTCTCTACTAAAAAAAAGATAGAAAGAAATTAGCTGGACAACTAAGTATATATATTAAAAATTAGCCAGGCATGGTGGCACATGCCTATAGTCTCAGCTACTCAGGAGGCTGAGGCAGTAGGATTGCTTGAGCCCAGGAGATTGAGGTTGCTGTGAGCTAAGCTGACACCGAGGCACTCTAGCCTGGGCAACAGAGTGAGACTCTGTCTCAAAAAAAAAAAAAGAAAAGAAAAGAAATTTGGCATTTTAGTCTGAGGTAGCTTGAATACTTAGAAACAAATGTTTTCTATATTTTTCATTTCTCTATGACAATTTTTTAAAATATGATACCCTGCTGATATTGTTATTAGTTATTATCCAAAATATCCTGGATATTCTATCCAGTAGAATTTTTTTTTTCAATTTTTACTGTGAAATATTTAGAAACTACAGAAAAGTGTATGTAACATAGCCCTGATTTACAAATAGCATATTATGAAACAAATATGTTCCCACAATCCAACTTAAAAAAGAAACATTACAGATTTCTAAATTTTTGGTTTTTATAAATTTATATCTCATATTTAAAGGATTATGTCAAAATTAAGAATAAATTTGATATACTAATAATGCTATATTCTGACAGGGAGACTTGGAACAAGTTATTTGACCTCTGTAAATCTCTATTACCCCTCTATAGATAGGAATAATCATGGTACCTACATCTTAGGGTTACTAGGAACATTAAATGAGATAATGTAGATAAAGTGCTTGGTATTAGAACATAATAAATGCATAATAAACACTAAATTTATTCAGTAGAATGAGAAATTAATTGGCTTTTTCTAAAGTAGAAAGTACTCTAGAATAGTATTTTTTTTCCTAACCATAGTTCTTAGTGTTTCTTCATTACTTCATTCGGTTTTACAATCTCATCAAAACCCCATATAATATGCTTGCATAATTACAATTTTAATCTCATAAACATACTCCAAAAGGAATAAAATTATGCCTGAGAGGGTATTTGTCTCCATATTTATACATTGCTTTTAATGATAGTTTCTTCTATGATTTTAATATATGAAGGAATTCCTTTGTAAGTCTTAAATCCCAAAGATAGAATATGAAAGAATTATTTCAGTCTAAATTCTTTATATGTGCAACTTGAGGATACTGTTTTATTTAGTAAATGACTATATATGATTGTTTTCTATACTAGAAGGTAAAAGTCAGCAGGTCTTGCCTATTTTGTTAATAAGTATTAGATTATATCTCATAAAATGTCTTTTCTTTCTTTCAGATCTCCTTGGAAAGGACTTCCAGAATTGACCAATGAAAATGGCCAATACTGTCCTTTTAGCTGTGAAACGCAAGCCTGGTCAATTGCTACTATTCTTGAGACACTTTATGATTTATAATTGGTTCATGGATATTAAGTATGCAATCACTTGTATTATGGAATACAAGGTCATAGTATAACATAAATGCCTTATATGCACATGCTCAAGTCATTTTACAAATCTTATCTATTATAAAATTGATGCCCAATTAGGTAAGATTATAAAAGCATTGATCTTTCTGGTTTTGGGGTTTTTAAAAAAAAATCTACAGAGGTAGCTTTCTATTTGAATCAAAAAGAAACACTATAATTATCAATGGAATGTTTTAAGTTCAGTAAGTATTGTTCCAATGCCTAGAGATTCAGAGTTGGAAAAGGAAAAATCATCTATTGGTACATAAGTGAAAATAAAATATGAAAATGCAATAATGAAATAGAGAGTTATCTTTAAATTGTGATATATATTATCTTCAGGCACAGTACATACTGAATTGGCTATGGCTCATTAATGTTCTCACTATTTACTAAGTGTAGAATGCACTTTGCTCACTGTATTCAATAAATATTGAAAGAATATTGAATGATGGAAGTTTTCACCTACAATGTATGTTCATAAATGGAGCACAGATGTTCAAAATGTGCTTTTATTTTTTTCACTGATATAGTAATATTTTTTTAATATAATGAATGCCAACAGGATATTTAACATAACTTACTATGCTAGTGATGCATAGGATATATGGGAAAAAATGCAAAGCATTCGGAAATTTCCTAAAAACGGTTCTGTTACATTAGTCTTGAGTTCTAATTTCCTCATATGAGATAGTTTACATTTTTTAAGTGGAAATTATGAGAACTTTAAAGAAAAACTGTTATATTAATTTTATAAAAACTTAACTAAATTATCTTTAGTTTATGTACAAAAAAATCTATTGATAGATCATAGTAGATACTGGTTTCCTATTAACCAAAACCTACACTGACAGGTTTAGCACTGAGAACAATCTTAATAAAAATATAGATATAAGTTCAATCATTATCTTGAATTTAATAAAACTATTGAAAAGTTATTCAAGTTTTTTTTAATTAAAAAACCTAGGCCACAGTGGTGAGTGAGAGCACTGCATCCTAACCACTAGACCACCAGGTGCATGTTAAGGTACCTTAAATTAAATCTGAAAATGTCACAAAAGGAATAAGGTTTCTAACATTTATATGAGTTGACATTTTTGAGTAGTACTACTCATTTCCTAGATGGAAGTCTTTGTTTTTTGGGTTTTTTACTGTCTTTTTCCCTCAAGAAAACACTTTAATCATTATACATTCAGTTGGAAGAAAGTAGTTGCAAAACTCCTTTCATTACTATTTAATATTATTCAGTGGTTTATTTATAGGTAATAAAATAATGGTACATTAGCACTTTTCTTAGTGAGAGATCACATACCAAAACCCTTAACTATGGCTGAGAAATAAAAACGAAAAACAAGCAAAATGAAACTTATGTGCAGCAAAAAATATATAAATGCTTCAGCTGTCAAATACTCATGCTTGAAAGCTCTTGCAATTTACTGTATTATTACTTGCACACCCTTCTTCAAAGCTGACCTTACTTTAGAAATAGTTTTAACTAGCTTAGTTTTCTGGTTTCCCAACCTAAAGTAAGTAGATGAATTCCTACAAATTTAAGGACAGTTGTGATAGTAATCTGATCACTATCTGTAAACACATTGCTTTCCAAATTTCCCTTCTTCAGTTCCTTCTTTGCTCGATATATAACCTGTAGAGGCAAAAGGAATGGCCTTCCTTGAGAGAACTATTAGTTCATCAAAGGTTTATGTAGTTTTGCTGCTGTACCCTAACTTTTACCTTAAAGGGGGTAAAAAACAGTAACAGAAAACATTTAATGAAAGCAAGAACTAATAGGTGACAATTAAATGTGACCAAAAAAATAAATAACAAGTTGACAGTTCTAAAAATATAGCCATATTGGGTTATCTATAGTAGGGCAAAGACCTACCTTGGTAAACTTTTAGGATATTTGCTTACACTAGAAAACTAAGCGTTTCATATTCCTAATGCAGAATATTAATTTAAAAATTGTTATACTCTGCATGGTCCATTTTAAAGTTTAAGAAGGCATGTTACACATTATTCCATCCAAAGTAGTTAAAATAGCAATTTTAGACTGTAGAAGGAAAACTGTTATTTGGCTAAAACACATTTAGGTAGAATGCTTCATTCTTGAGTGATGCTAGGTAAGGTATTATATTACGTTTTGACAGTGGTCTGTGCATTGATTTTTGACTGATCCAAATCAATCTTTCCCTTTAAAATGAGACATAAACTTGCCAGTTTAACTAGGATGCTATGGTATTTTAATAGTAAATAAGTTTTCAAAGATAATTAGGGAGACATTAGACCGGTCATATTTATCGATATTGTAACATGTGAATTGTAATACATTTCTGATATGTCTTAAGCTGCTCTATGTAGTGCACAAATGTCAGTTATGTCTATATGCCAAGAAAATAAAAATCTTTTCTAAAGGACCATATTTTGCTTTCATTCATTCATTTGCCAATTAATTTGTCAATGCTGACCACTGCAGGATGTGTGGAGGCAAGAGAGGAAGAAAAATTGTAGTCTGCTTTGGTAATTTATTTAATTAGCCATGTCAAATTTAGGAGCAAAATAAACTTTCAATGTACAAATAGATCTTTTAGCAACTATACACTTCCCTAGTATTTCTTGAAACTTTTTATACTACTGTGAACTTTTTATTTACCTTTCTTATATATACATTTACAATTTATTTAATAAATCAATGTCATTCAAAATACAGCCAGAACATTATGCCATTGAACATGCTAATAATGTTTGTCATGAAGCATCTGTGCTCATGTTAGATTGGTGGCACCCCACTACTGCTAGTGGTTCCTGGGATTAATGCCAGAGCAGCGCTAGTTATCTGGCTCCCTTGCATAGCTAGTGCAGAAAATTCCCGAATAGGTCACCTTCTTGAGATTTTGCTTCCCATGTTAACCTTTCATAAACTTAAGGCAAATACTACAGGCCAGAATATACATGATGTATTTATGTGCCTCCTAAAATAGCCAAAAAGACTTTTTTACTTATAATTACTTAATAATATATATATATATATTTATAAAAAAAATCAAATGACTAAAGTTGATCCAGTTGGTCTTTGCCTTAATTACTGGTTCATTTTTACTGCGAATGTATATATCTTCAGATAAAAGATATTAACCTAAAAACCCAAACCTCTAATTACCAAATGGTTTTAATTACTTTGTCAAACTTACTTATATAGACCCTCAAAGTACCAATACAATAAACTCAAGGAATTTGCTTAGATTTTTTTTTCCATTTGTATGAGCCTTGAATTATAAAGTATCACTGATACTTTGTCATTTTGGCTGCAATATTTTTTCTGATATATTTGCCTTGTAATTTGGGTTAGAGGTTTTTTTGTTTGTTTTTGCTTAGCTTACAAAAGCTTTTTTTTCTCATCAAATCTTTCAGTGTTTACCTTTACCTTTGTGATCTCTTATATCACTTCAAAATTTAATCAGTCTCATTTAATAATTTAATAAATTGTGCTATTTTCTTCTGGTTTTATTATATATATATTTTATAGCTGCATCTGATACGAGGTGAGCCATTTACTTAGGTTTTTTTCAGATTGCCATATTCTGCACTCATGAGTTGAATGTGATTTATGGTGATTATTTTTTTCAATCATTGGATTTTTCCTAACTAGTAGAGTCTACTTCTAGGATATATTGTTGAAGTTTTCTGTGCCTATTCACTCATTTAATTATTGCAGTTTTTTGTTTTAATATTTGTTAGTGCTTTTCCTCACCACCTTTCTCTTTCACCCATCCCCTACTCTCCTTTTGCAGAATCTTGTTATATATCTCTGCCTATTTGTTCTTCCTAAGTATTTTTCCATATCCAAAAGCTATTCTCTTAGCATTTTTGCTAAACTTGCACTCACATAATTTGATAAGAACTGACATGTTTATGATATTTAATCTCATTTAAGAACATAGGGTATCTGCATTTATTGGAATTCTAATTTTCATGTCTTTGGTTGGCTGTGATCCATTTTGGTTCAATTTGATAGCCTATTGGTCAGAATAAGAAGTTCAGATTCAACAAATATTTATGAAGCCCTTACTAATTGGCAATTTCACGTTGAAGGTATTTATACCCATTTTATAAATGAGAATGTTGATAAAGAGTCTTGCCATAGGTCACACAACTGATAAATTACTGGACTAAGAGTCAATCCTTGATCTTGCTACCACAAATCCTCTTTCACAGACCTTCAAGACTACAATCTTCTCTACTTGCCCTCATGCTTCCTCCCACCATCCACACATAGGTCTAGCAGTTGCTATTATGAGTTGCCCTCTGACCATGGAAAGCTTTAGATTCTTTTCTGCTTAGGTCTAGGTATACCCCCTTACTATCACCTGATCAGAATTCTGTATCTGCAGTTATCTACCTTAATAAGATTACTGATGTAGTCCTGGCTAAATATTCAGACTCAGGGCCAAGCATGGGCTATGTTACACAACTGGGATAAATTTGCAAATGTAAGTTTCTTACCAAGGAAGGTAAGACAGAAAAGTATGAGACAACAGGAAGCATAATAAGAGGTAGCCACTGGTCAAAGTTGGTACAAGAGAATTGTGGCCAAAAGTCAGGCAGAGCTCATGCCCAGGCATGCTTAATACCAAAGGAAGCAAGTTATATCTAAGGAAATTTACTAACAAATTTGGCACTTAATTGTACAAATGTTCAACGTTAATATATGTATTATAATTGATTTTATATATACACACACACACACACATTTTTTAGAGATGGGGGTCTCACCATGTTGCCCAGGCTGGTCTTAAACTTCTGGGCTCAAATAATCCTTCCACTTGAGCCTCCCACGTGAGGTGGGAGTATAGGCATGTGCCACTGTGCCAGGCTCATGTAACTGATATAGTTTCAAAGTACAAAACTCAACACTAAGTCCTATTAGACATCTTATTACATAAAGAAGTGCTCCAAAAATAATTCATCTTGGACTCCCACCTCACATCCAATGGATCACAGTCTTCTCACTTTTATCTGATGTAGGTTCTCATATATATTCCTTTCTTTCTACTTATACTTGTTTTGTGCTTAGATTAACTTCATTTCTTAATTGATCACAATGTACTGAGTCCCTCAGAACTATAAGGAAAACCTTTCTTGAACATTGATTATTTCCATCACTGCTCAGAGGGAATTAAAGATCCTCTATGATTTGGCCTCAATCTCTTTCCAATCCTGATGTTACAATGTCTCTGCTGTTTCCAAAGCTGATTACTTGCCTCGCTGAGCCTTTGTTTCTTCAACTGTAAAAACAAGGATGGCTCACGCCTGTAATCCTAGCACTGGGTAAGAAAAAGGGGAAAGGGAAAATGAGGAAGAGGGAAATAGAAAAGGCGAAAGAGAGAAGGGTAAGAAAAAGGGATAAGGGAAAACGAGTCGAAT